CGCAGCCAAATGTCATGGTTTGTTTTGCGTAGGATGTATACTAGCGGGAGTGGAGAGGGGTCACACCGTCCCGGAAGGGCTAGGGGCTTGCGGTTGACCCAGCGGAGAGCCCGGAACTACGCGTTGGAGTGATCATCACCGAGCATCGGCAACACGGGACAAGGCGGCTCGTCCCGTGCCTAACTTTTCCTGATTTTAGAGTAGTAGTTTGGTAGCTTTAGTAGTTTTTTGTAGTTTTAGTAGTTTAGTAGTGTTAGTTGTTTATTGTTGTATATTTGTAGATAAATGTAATCTGAATTAGTCGGTCCTTTTCTTTCTCAGCGTTACGCGCTATCTGTTGTGCCGTTCATACTTGTAGGGGGTAGTCCTCGGCAGCGGCCGTTAAGGCGTCGCGAACCTTGACGGACGCGCGACATCGTAGGGGACAATAGGGGTTAGGTGTAGCTGCGGCGAGCACTTGCGAAAGGTGCTGATCACACCGAGCCGCCACATGCCGAGTTCTTCACATGCAAAACGTAATTTTGCAGTCATCCTTTCCTTTCTCTCTTGCACTCGAAAAAATTACCTGCTAAAATTTCTAGTCTGTTCTGACGTCTGAAAGCGTCATTTTCAGATTTGATTGGCTTTGTTTTGGAAAGAAAAAAGTCAAGCTTTTTTATTCGTAAGAAAGCAATGTTCTTTCCTTGATATATTCTAGGAATCTTGCTTCATACCACTTTCCATTAGTGACTTTAGAATTGCTGCTAAAATTATAATCATTGCATTTTTATGTAGTGCCACTTCAAGAATTACTTTGAAGTGAGAACAAGGGTATGTAAACCGGAAAGCTAATGTAAATTTTACGAGGGTTGCGCTAATGGATGCCACAAAACTCATCCAAAAAACATCTTTAGAGATGAGATAATGGGGTCAGACACAATTTTTGAGAAAGCAACGCTGTCTGAGCTTTGTAGCTTTATAGTCGTGTGCCCGACCTAATTGATCTGCTTTCAGAACCAGAGGGTTATAAGGTGGGAACCAGTTCTTGTCACAGTAGCAATCTGGTCTCAATCCCCTTCTCCCCGGGGAAATTATAGCTCTTGAAAGAATTTTGACGGATTCAAAACTTGTACTTGATAGCCGTTGTATCGCGTAGTCACGTACAATCGCAGGAAGTTGGGAGCATAGACTTAAAACCTGAGAGCTCTTCGCGCTCCTCTCCATTATGTGTATAGATGTGCAGAAAGAAGAGGGAAACATTGAAAATGCAAGAAGGATCGTTTCTCAAGTACGTGTACCTGGCCCTACCCTTGATCCTGCTATATCAGATTTCAAGTCACTTAGCGCACATTATGAACTCAGTGTTGCGCCAATTTTGTGTGGTCCTCGTACGGATATTTGGCGAACATAGTTGGGGATCATTAAGATAGTAGGACATAATTAAATGCATCAGTATTCTCTCAAAACGATTCGGAATGTGATTGTGCAGTCGCACCACTTGACTCAAGCATAAACACAGGTGTAGGCGTTGTAGCTCAGTTTCATGCGGGATCTGAACGAAAAAAGGAAAATTTTTGCTGGCTTGTAAGAACTAATGTGATGGAGCAATTCAGCTGCTATTTTTGCCTACGAGATTTCCGTCCTTGAAAGTTTACTTCACCAACAACGAAAGACTTGGGCCTCGGGCAGAGTTCACGCGATTTCATCGTCGCGATCCATCGCGACAAGACAACTGTTAGGTCATGCTTGCCGATCTTCTTGTATTCGGTTGTGATAGATAGTCAGATTGTCGTTGGAACACTATCACAACCGAAATGCAAGGAAATCGGCATGCAATGACGTCTGGTCGCGATGAATCGCGAAGATGAAATTAGGTACTTGAACTCCACCCGAGGCCTTAGTTAAGTTGAAATTCCCCCCTCCCCCCCTCCTCCTTGCCAAAATGTCAAACCCAAATCACAAATCCTGATTGATTTCTCCGTAACACGTGCTACAACGCCTTGCGAGCCAGAAGTTCAATGCAAAAAAAGCTCGCGCCCTGCATGCCATGTGGGCCCTGCCGAGAACAGCCTGAAGATGGGTGGCGGCATCGATCGTGGGCTGGTTGCCAGAGAAGGGGAGGGGCGCGGCCGACGGCGCCCCCCGTCCCCCGTCGCGGGTGCTCCCACTGGCGTGAGGTCGTCGTGCTACGAGACTCTACGAGAGTCGATGGACTGACTTGACGTGTAGCTTTATCGTCAACGATTCTGCAGCTGAAGATGCCTCACAACTCGTCGTCGTCCTCGTTCCTCAGTCGATTAGGATCGGCTCGATCAAGTTTCATCTCACCTAAAGAAGTGAAAGTCATCGTGCAACTTCTTAACGATGCCGATTCCGTGTCCAATGAATTTAAGGTGAGCCTTTGCCATTTTATTTCCGCATTCTTTCCTTTCTATTTGTCCGAATTTCCCGTTTCTGCGCATATTTGCGCGTGTCATATAAATCATATCGACACCATCCAACGCATTCCGGCTCGCTTTCTTTTCATGAAAGCTGCTCGGTCAGCATTATTGCCATTCTTTGAAGTCTTCTCTTCCTAGAGAATGCATGCTAACAAGCAAAAGGATGCTGCTGTTCCTTCTCTTGTTATTCTGCGACACTCATTCTTCGTTTTTATCTTTTCAAGGGCAAGTAATCATATGACTAGCACGCGCACTATTTTTTTGGATTGAAATCTTTCTGGGTATCTGCACCTTTTTGTTTTGAATATATTTACACTGCAATTAAACGGATTGTTTTGGTTGCAGTTCCAGCTTAATGCATTTTTGAATATTCTGCAGTATCTCAGCGAAATGTTCATGACGACCACGGTATTATGAAGTACTGTTTATAAAGCTGTCATCAGCTAACCATTTGTTTACTCTTATATGCTTAATCGAATTTTCAAAAAGAATTAATAAGGTATATTTTGAGAGGTTGCAAATCTATTTTCGTGCTCATTTTGATGTCTATAGCATTGCTATTGCTAATTCTAACTCCACTGGGAGGATTTTTTTTGGAACCACCCATCTTTTATGCGTGGATGGTAGGCGGCTGTGCACTTGGATGCGTAACTTTAGTTGACAGCGTCATTAGTAAGTCAGAGAAAATGGATGTAATTGATGCGTGAGGTCCATGCAGCATTTTTTTCCATTCCCTTGTCGCTGTACCCTTCGCTTCTTTTTCTAATTCGGTCCAATGCATCGGCGAAAATTGCTTGTGTTCTCGTCTTCTGTCAGAAAGTATTACGTCGTTTTTATTCATATAAATTTGCGCGTCATTGCTTTTATCGCGTGCACAGCCGTTTCAAATATCACAGAGACGCATGCTTTAGTCTTTTGTGTGCTTCGGTCGCATGAATCCGTCGAGAAGAGCAATAAAAGAGTAGGGAAGAGTGCAAATAAGCCACTGGCTGCGCTAATGGATCCTTAGAACCGGGGCACTTGTATGGATCCAAGGTCGATTGTCCGTAATTATCCTTCCAACATTAGCTGAATTGCCAACAAATTCAAACGCATCGCGTCGTTGGGGCGGCGGGTCAATGTCCGTTCTGTCGTAACATCTGTCCAGAAATGAATAATTAGTCTTGCTGTTTATCGCATTGCTTAGGGTAGCGCGACGCTTTGTCTACATTGTAGCTAGAGTTCGAAGCACTCTTTTGGCCCTTTCAGAGTGTCCTTACCCTCTGTGGAAGAGTACTTTCGAGGTCTTCCTCTCATTCTCGGAAAAGGCTAGGTTGTCCTGGATCGATAACTAGCACACTCGCACCGTCCTACATATGCATGAAATACGTAGTCGATGAGAATGCGCTTTTGGAATCGTGCCAGATGTCCGTCTGTGCCGACCACTTTGAAGAAATCTGAGGCGGGAGAGCGTTTTTTCTTTTTATTTCCTGAGAATGCGAATTGCTCCTTTGTGGCCATTATAGGTGGTAAACAGTCGTAAAGGGGGTCTATGGTATTTACACAAGATAAGCGGGTAGTGTTAAAAATTGATTGATAGCATGTTTTGGCGGCTTAAGAAAAGTAAGGGTTTTTGAAGGAGTGTTCCAATCTTCTTGTTTACGGAAGTAAAATATTATCAACATCAAGATAAAGTACCTATCGAGCACTCATTAGCTTATATAATAATGCGCATGATTCAGTAAATAAGCTCGTACTTTGTGCTTTATCTTCGTGAAAATATTGAAATGATGTCATCGGAATTGTCGAAATGTCAAAGATATTGCTACATGGCTGTATCAAACAAAAACATTTGTTTATTCGCATTTTTGCGGATTGGCTGTCGTTTGTGACATTTTTGCTGAAATTCCTGTGAAGCACGTTACATCTGATAAGGGAATGGTCAAGATCGAAGTGGCCATCCAAGCAAGCTGTCTACCATTCGATGCAGCATTCAACGCTGATTTCGAATCTGTATATAAAATATCTGCTTAGCGCCTTTGTGGACAAAGTTATGAGGAGTTTTATTGCGAGAAAATCGTACATAAAAATTCAAAATTGAGTACATTGTTGCGCTTTCAGCTCACCTTTAGGCTTTAAGAATATAAAGTAACCTAGCTGCATGTTTTAGCCCAGCATTAAGCCAAACATGGCTCCGCACTGCCAAATTTGCGCTTTGCATGCATGATCTCTTAGCTAACGGCCTTCAACGGTTCATGACTTCGCCCACGTAGGCGCTAAGCAGATATGGTAATACAGATTCGTAGTCAGCGTTTTAATCTGCATCTAATAGTATGCAGCTTGTTTGGATTGGCTAGTTTGACTTCTGACTATTTCCTTGTGAGAGGATTATTTTCGTCATGATAGATAGATGGACATAGGCATTTGCCTATGTAAGAAAAACGGGAAATGGTTCCGAGTTTGAAAAACCATAAAATTTTAGTTCTGTAAATTTTGCACGTTGGCTTCATGGCTTCCAAACTGTTTTTTCCTTATTTATGGTGATGCAAAGCTATTAGTCGCAGCGCCCATCACTGACTTTACGATTTATTAGTAAAAACCATGAAGAGTGTCATCAATATGACATCTGCAATTAGCTTTTTACTGAGTGCTCCATGTCTTCCGGCTCTACTATCCTACACTCTATTTCCATATCTAGGGGTTTGTATGCGATATGCACTTCTGTGAATAAAAAATTATAGCGAACACTACCTTCTCAAGCGATCTTGGACTATATCTGTGAGTTAAAAAACATCCGTGAAAAGGATTATCTTGGACTACGATATCAAGACCACAACAAGCACCGTGTAAGCATTTTTACCTCTCTTTTTGTCACTTTGTTGACATTCGGTCGGATTACACCATCCTTTTAGTACTGGGTTGACCTATCTCGGCCAATATCCCATATCGCAAAGCAGTTCAAATGTAAGTCTCTTTGGTGGTTTGTAAGGACTGCTATGTTTTGCTTTTGCAGCCGATTCATTAGCTCTTCGCTTGCGTTTCCGCTACTATCCGGCCGAGCCATCACATTTGAGGGAAGATGTCAGCAGGTTCGTAGCGTTATACTTGTTTTGTCTCCTATCAGTTACTTTTGTGTAACTGCTATCCTCGAATGTGTGTAACGTTGTTGACAAGGTAGTCAGAGATAGATGCTTTGTTTTTGGATAGCGCGACAGAAATAAGAGTGGGGAAAGGTGTCTGAGGGAGAGAGAGGATAACGTTTCCGTTCATAAATGGTTGATTTTTTCTCTCTTGGATTGAGATTATTTTTTGTCATCTGATGGAGAAGATACACTTTGTTTGTCTTAGGCTACAATTTCATGAAATCAGTGTTTTAAGGATTATGACCATTTGTTGTGGGATTCCCATATGATCTTTTTTTCCAAAGATTATAACGATCATCGGTTTGGCCCGTTTTACAAAACATGTTATCGAATTCATTTCTGGTTCGTTTTTTTTCTTTTTTTTTGCGCACAATAATTTTCGCGCTCTTTTTTCTTTTTGTTAAGCAGCTTACTGGTTGCTATTCTTTGGTTCTAATTGTTTAGACAGCTGACGATGGTTGGTTGGTGCCAGCGAGGCGCTAGGCGACAAATTGGCACGCATGTGAGACAAAAATTTCATGATGAGTCATAGAGCAACATTCTTGGAGGAAAAAGTTCTGTGCATTCGAATTTCTCGACTCTTTTTTGAGCCCTCTTGTTTAGCAGCGGGTTTTTTTACAAGTCTAGCGTGAAATTCATGGTTCTTTCTTTCTTGTTTTATAACATGCGATATGTGAAGCTCAGAAGTTCTTTTTTGCTTGTTTTTTGGAGCAGTGCTAGAGAGCCTCCACGTTTTAAACATTTTTCCTTTCGCCTTTTTACAGTATGACAATAACACCGATTAATTTCTTCAACAGCTGTGTTTGTGCCCGTACACCTCCCCTTTTATTTTGTATTCACAGCCGTGGAAAGAAAAACATCGAAATCAAATGATTTTGTGATCGTACAAAAATTGATTGAAAGTTGTGCCGAACGTCTAGGTGTACAAGTGTGGTTCGATTTATCTAGGGCATAAGGTTTTTCGGTATTGAAAAAGATGGAACGAATGGAGCTCGGCTTTTTTTTCAGTGTCAAAATAATAGATAATACGTGAGATGTGCTATCTCATATATAATCAAACGAATCGAACATTCAATGTGCCCTATTTTAAAACGTTTTTTCAAGGTGTTAGGCCTCTTATAACGAGGGAACTCGTTTCTCGATTGCAGGCGCATACGAATTGTGATTCAAGGTCATCGGGGGTAAGAATGGGATGTGTAGGGGGACCGTTTGATTGGAAACAGCTAATCCGTAAGTGGATGAGTCGCTTTGGTCCCCTTTGCTTTTACCTTGAAGAAGTTTTTGGTGCAAGAATGGAATGATTTCAGCTCTAGTGGTTTTTTGGAGCGGAATTTTGTGCTTTCCCATATAAAAACAGTCAGAGAGGAATTATGTTCCGGTTCTTTTTCCCAGGTGTCGCATTTGCGGCAGACAAACATGTCAAAAGAAATTTTCATTGAAGCACAACGATCGAGTTGTTTTCACCTGTCTTTTTTGTTTATTTTTATGAGTTCTGGGTTTTATGGTTTTTTTTTCGGGGAACCTTTTGAACTGAAGCAGACTTTCTTTAGGCGCTTTCCTTATTTTGTTGAATCTGTAATTAGCGCTATTTTTGTTAACACTACAAGTTGATGTTTTTTCTTTACTTTCTTTGTTTGCATGTTTCGAGAATGTCATGCCTAGATCAGAAAAAAAGTGAAAGAAGGAAGTGACGTGCGAAGTAATGATGCGTGGCGACTTCCTCTTAGGCCCCCACGCCCTGAGCGCTCGAGCTCACTCAAAATATATGAGTCCAGTTTTCACTCTCTGACTCGAGTATGTCTATATTTACACGGTATTCTTTGTCGATCGGGGGTGGACTGAAATGGTGACACCATGTGGGAAGGAAGAGTATGTGCCCAAACTTGGTAAACAAACTTTGCTTTTTTGGCCACAGCGCACGTGAACATCTTGTCCTCCTTTGGTAAGGGGTTGAATATTTCGTTGGTTGATTCGTGAGCAAAGATTGATTCGAATTCGAAACGATGATTGCCATTCAGTGCATGTTTTGTGTTGAAAAGCAATGAAATGTTTTCCATTCTGAAGGGGATCGTATTCTTAAGTGAGTCAGAACAAAGTTCTTTGATCATTTGTGCTCTGTGCAACTAATTGGATCAATTGAGAAGGATGAAAGTGCCATCCAAATTTGATGGCGAACTAAAAATTCTCATAATTGCCAAATTTCATTCTTTTTTCTGAAAAAATTTCATCAGGAGGGGAGTATGATCCAAGAATTAACATTTCTCTGATTATTGAAAGGTCTATCTACTCTCTTGATGCTTTTCAAGTCATGAGAGAAAATATGGTGGCTAATTCATGCTATGCTTTCCATACCTGCAAGTTAATTATATGGCTCTTTTTATAACCTGGAAATAGTTGCGAGGAACTGGATACGAATAGAAGTATAAGTTGCTGTCATTATTCATTGCTGACGGAAAACGTGCAATTGGTGAATCAATCAGATAGAGTGGCAACTTGCCCAAAACTACGAATTAATGGCTCTAAGACTATAAGAAGCGTGAAAAGATGAAAGTAGATTCTAATTTCAAAGAGACGCTGCTTTGGTAATGGAGGCGAGGGGGGGGGGGGGGTGAAATACTCAAATGGTCGTTGTTTTTATCATGTTTTTGACGATTATCGCATTGTACAGAATGGTTAAAATATTTTAAATTCGTCTATATTTGGTGCTGATTTTCTTTCAACCCACTAATCATTATTGTACTCCGCCGAAAAGTTATCTGATCCACCAATTATAATATCTAACATTTTTAATGAGGAAACCGCTTAACTTTTGCCATTCCTGTGACCATAAAATCCAGAAATCCTGTATTGCTGACATCAGCTATTCGTTCAGCCACTGATTCTTTTTTTAAATTTATTGTTGTCAACGTTTCATTACTATTGTTATTATCTTTTATGGCTCAATAATCGCTATCATGTCTTAATGCTATCCCATAGAGCAGTCGCCGTTAATAACATGGTCATTCTTTGCTGCATTCCTTCTCGTGCGTCAACACGAAAATTTGCTGTCTTGTCAGTTCGCGCTGGCGATATCGCCAGCGCTGTTTTTATGACCCACTACAAGGCTGACGCAGGGGGGTGCTGTAAGGGATCGTTCATACCGCGCACAAAGGCGGACGAAGGCGGACGAAGCCGGACGAAGCCGGACAAAGGCGGACGAAGCCGGACATAGGCGGACGAAGCCGGACAAAGGCGGACGAAGGCGCGTGTGAGTGTGTGTGCGTGTCGAGAGAAACGAGACGAGACGATACCGCGCCTTCGTCCGCCTTTGTCCGGCTTTGTCCGGCTTTGTCCGCCTTCGTCCGCCTTTGTCCGGCTTCGTCCGGCTTCTTCCGCCTTCGTCCGCCTTTGTGCGCGGTATGAACGATCTCTAATAAAGATTGTAAGGAACTCGTAATTAACTAAGCCTTGACAGATCGTTCAGAAAGTTAAATCAGTAGTTAAGATGTGTTGCAATTAATGAGGTGAAGGGTCTTGGCGGTATGGAGTTTGGTGGGGGTAGAGGACTATATGTCGCCGAAAAAGGGCGGTCCCCACGGTCATTTGCGACAAATACGCACCCTTGTACATGCGCGGACATGCGTTCCTGCAGAGAATCCGCGCGGGACTCTTCCAAATTCGGCGACATACTCCACCCGTTTGGTGGCGGAAAGAAATTTCAGGCCGGATTTATGAGTTGGCTAAAAGAATACGTTTATTCCTAGCTGATTGTACACCACTGAGGATAACAAATGTTTCGTTTTTTTTTCAATTCAAATTCTTATTTTGACTTATTTTGGCAAATTGTTTTGTGTCTTAATTCATTTTTGATCTTATTTGAAAGGTTGGTATACTCCCATCTACTTCCGCAGTATCTTATTACATAGAGCTTGCGCTGAATGGGTAATAAGGTCAAAGCTGGCTGTTTCAAGTGGGAGTGCCGCCTGATCTTTGCCCTTGTCAACGCTAGATAAGGCGGTGTAAAACGCTTCCAACATGCATGCCCCTTGTTGTCAATTTGCGGGGTCGTGAACTGTTGTTGGAACAAAAATCGGAGCAGTGAGAACTTTATGTAGGAATGAAGCTGCAGAAGTGATGGAACTTTTGCATGACAAGAACTTGAGATCAGAAAAAAATTTCTTTTACGTACAAGTCCTCCGTTTCGTCCCTTCGGAAGTTTTGCACGACAAGAACTTGAGATCAGAAAAAAATTTCTTTTACATATAAGTCCTCCGTTTCGTCCCTTTCCTTAGACTGTGTTTAGGGATCTAGACTCCCTTCGGGCAGTTCAGTAAGGAAAGAGAGGCTATTTCGGTTCTCAAAAGATTTTTTTGAAAAAATTTTAGAACTCGTGTTTGATGTTGAATAGTTTTATTTTACAAATAATCAATCATTTTGCAGTTTTTTCTCTTCATAGTGAATGTTATGATTTTCACGATTGCAACAGCTGCCGTTTGAAAAACTGGGGAGGGCGCTCTCCATTTTTTATTCGCTTTTTTTCCAACTCAAAAAAATTGCCGAGGCTTAGCTGTGAGAAGAAAGAACCATCAAACAGTTGCGCCCATTACAATGACGCTTTTTTGCAGGTACCAGCTGTTCATGCAATTGCAACGTGACTTATTACATGGACGTCTTTATTGTCCACAGAATCAATCGGCTGAGCTCGCTGCGCTCATCTTACAGGGTAGGGGCATCTTTGCCCTTAAGTTTCGTATTGCTAATCATCAGTTTTCAGCTCAATTAGGTGATTGTAATGAAGCAATACATACTGGCAACTATGTCTCACAATATAAACTTCTGCTCAAGCAAACTCCACGGATAGAAGAAAAAATAGCAGAGATTCACAAGTCTTTGAGGTTAGTTCAGTTACATTTTTGTTTTTTTTTGCCACGTCGTATGTCACTGAGCGGAGAAAATTATGGATTTTGTTCTTTCATTTCTTGCGTACTTGGAAAAATTGGCCTTGTGTCAGATTTAATTTTCGTTAGATCTTCGACCAATTTGTGTCATACATCTGCGTCGCCTGTAATTTGCTGTTAAAAAAAATTTTCGCTGTCCACTTCTGTTCTAATCAGAAATGGCATTACTATTTTAACACGGTAGGGGTGACGAAAGTGCTAATTTCAGTTTTTATTTCCAGTGGAAAGTCCACATCAGCAGCTGAACTAGAATTCTTGGAGAAAGCTAGCAAACTTGATACGTACGGGTTCGATCCATATACTGTCAAGGTACGTTACTGCATTAGGAGAGGGTTGTTCCCACAAATAAGTGATAAAAACGTTTTTAGGACCCCAAGGACCCTAATCATGCTGTTTACATTGGCGTAACGCACAAAGGTATTTTGATATATCAAGCAAGCCAGAAAGTGCACCACATTCCATGGTGAGTTATCTCTCACTTTGATTGGTAAATAAGTTTGAAAGGGGTTATAGAACAGGAGAATTTCTTGCTATCTATGCTATCTTTATTATTCTGCTTTTTGAGCTTTTTTCGTTTCTTTTTTGTTGATGACTGACCTACGATGCTTTAGGTCTCAACTATCAAAGGTAGATTATGTCGGAAAAGAACTATACATCTATCCGACTGAGGCATACGTGCCACCCACTATCAATGGCACTATCGATGACGGTGTCAACAACAAACATAAGGTAAATAATGTGATAGTGTTTGCACCAAATTTTCTTATTTGTGTAAATCAGCGTCACTTCCGAGTTTTTATCATTTTTAGTCGTTGTTTCATCAGGATCGCAAGTCACGATTAGTGCTAAAATATCAATGCCCATCTGGAACGTTTGCGAAACATCTCTGGAACCACATACTGAGTCAACAAGCGTTCTTCAACGAGCAGAGTGCATTGATGATTAAGCCAAAGTTCTCGAAGTGAGTCTGTGTATTCATTGTTGCCACGATTGACTCAAGAGCTTTAGAAACATTAGCTATTCCGCAAAGGTTCGGAATCATAGAAATTGAGTCAAAATTTTTTAGACCAAGGATCCCCCTGCTTTCTCGTGGTTCCACATTCCGATTTCCATCTCGTCGAGTTCTTCGTGAGATCGAAAGCACCGACATCGCGTCAGACAGCGAGCTCAACACCAACGGGTAATATGTTTACTGAAAATTGTGGCGAGCATCTGTTGCATCCATAAATTTCAGCCCAGCTTTTGTGCGATTCGAATTACCTCGCCAAGAACCGCGAAAGGAGCAGCCATGGTTGATAGAACAACCGGCATGGTTGAAACAATACCACACATTACCAAATCTTAAAGTCAATCACAACAACAATGAAGTCAAAGTTGAGCAAAAATCACCTGTAGTGGAGTTTACAACCAGTAGGGATTCGCTCGAATGAGCGTCTTCTTGCACATTAATCATTTGTATCTAATGGGACTAAATTTTTAGTAACGACCACTGTGTCGAACTCGAAATCGGCACCGCTCGATCTACAGGCTTCTCCAGCCCCATCATCACCCGTACAAGATTTTCCATCCACTTCCTCTGTACATGATGATAAAACACCATCGCATGATCAAACGCCAACCACTGCAACGACGATGCCGGACTATAAGCCGTGGAAGAATGAGAATGTCGTAAGTACTTTGACTATGTACATTGAGCATCATGAGACCGGTCTTGTCCTATTGTTTATTTTTTTTTCTTCTTTGCTATGCATGCAGGCAGTAATTTATGTGTGTGCTCACTAACAGGCTGCTGAGATGTGACGGAATGTAAATAAAAGGGGTTTAGCGAAGATTGCAATGAGATTACTGCACTGAACTCTTTAGACTTAGTTATCGATCGATAAGTGATTAATACCTAATTCATAACTTTTTCCATCTCAATAGACTTAAAAGAACTTTATGTTATACTGCTTATGTGCTCCCCTGTGTTACCAAAAAATCTTTTTTTTAAGTTACTAAATCTCCTAAATAAGTCCATTTTATGTCTAAGTAAGTCGCAAAAAGTTGGCGCATGTTAACTCAATGTCATTGCAGCAATAACAAGCTTGTGAAAAAAATTTTTCGCGCACATCTCAATAGCTGGCCGGCTAATTTGATTTCAATCTCATCCTTCTCTGTCAGGGTCGTTTTTTCCTGATCGAGAAAATCGTGTCACCTGTAACTTCAGAATGCCTGCTTCGAGCTCACTTTCTCAAGTAATGGCATAGAATCAAAAATCTGTCCTAAAATTTTTTGTTGATATCGCATCGTCTGCGTTGGGCACTGGCTCCATATAAAACTGATTTTGGCTTTGTTTGATGAAAGCAAAGTGGGATAATGATATTTTCTAGTTGCTTGGTGGCCATTATGCTATCGAGGGCAGAACCGCATTTTTCAATTTTTCGCTCTCATTCGTTAGATTAGGGCATTCTTTTTTTTTCACGGCAGCAATTCACTTCGATTTGTATAGCTACATCTTTAAATCTTTACTGCTGTTGCGACTGAGTGGAACTATTACAGATCAGTGATTTACTACTTCTTTGTTGTCCGTAACCATAAAAATGCTTCAAAATGTTATGTTCGGCGCAGCTCGGAGTGAATCCTAATGTGTGTGATATTTTGTTGTATATTGCATCATTTTTAATTTTTCATCAAAACTGCAGAAGATGGAAAGTTTGAAAGTAATAGCATATGTATCAGTCACGTCACTTGAATCTAATATTCATTTAAGTTGAAGTAATACAATGAGTATGGTATTCAAGAAGGTTCCAATGGGTCTTTTCTGTTTGGTACATCGCTTCGTCACAACTTAGAGCATGCATGCATAGAGATTCGAACCCGATTTTGCATGGCATAGCAGTACTGCAAGGCAGAGTTGCATGACTTATTTGCTGAATTGAGTTGCTCTATGACATCATCCATTAGGATCCCTTCGAACTTTTTTAGATTGATATTAGCACTAAGTCTTGTCTAAGCTTTTAGACATAGTTTTACGCAATTTTTGCGGGGAAAGTAGCCAGTATTTGCACAATTTTTATTGCAAAAGCAAAGCACATTATGTTGCCGCTGTGATTATTTTCGCTCTGAGAAAATGGCTGTGTCTCGGATCGCTTGCTGCGTTTTTTGCCTCGTAGGATCTTCACCCACTCAGTCCTTGCATTCATTTCAGACATCGTTCACCGTGCGTTTGGTCAAGTACGAGCGCAGCCCTATGGCTACGGTACGACGTATTCAATTTGTTCTAGTTAGATGAAAATATCGGCTTCTATGCGAAAAAATACATTTTCTCCTTCTAATCCTGACATGTTCTCCTATTTGAATGATTATTTTCGTTTCTCCCATTTTCCCTATTCAGTCGTAAGCTTAGTGATACCGTAACCGTTTGGTGAAGTGATGCTTGTAGAGCAGAGCTAAAGCTTAGACGAATTAACTGTAGTGCCGCGGCTGTCGTGTGTTAATCGTGATGTACTGTAACTGTACTGTAATACTGTAATGTATCGTAGTGTGTTTTTATTCATCATTTGCATGAAACTAATTGTGACGGTTTTCAGCCTGAGCCAGATGAGTCACTCAAAGCAAACATACAAGGAGATACTCTTGAAGTTCCATCTGCTTCGGTTTCCCAGCCGTTATTAGAATCGAATGCAGAAGAAAATCAAGTAAATGGAACGGTAAGCACGTCCTCAGATATCCTCTTTATCTATCAGCATTTTATTTTAGGCATCAAATGTTTCCAAAAATGGATCACTACAACTAGTGGAGCATACCAATAACATTACTCAACGTTCAAGTGCTGGTCAACGATGTGCCAACGTATTTTTCTCAACGTTTCTCATACTCCTATTGCTCTTAGCTATGTCAATAGCACTATTTGAGGTTAGTGTTTCATCAAAAAAGTCTTGGACTCAGTTGATTCGTTTTTCCTTTCGCTCCGATTTCCTAGTTTCTTTTTCGATTTTTCTTTGCAAATATTTGTTTAGCTCGAGAATCTGGTTTTTGAGTGTGTCATCGTTATGAATGAGAACATTTTGATTTCAAGTGCTACGACCTAAATCATATCCCATTGTAGATCCAACACTTGACTTTTTTATTGAACGTGATTGATTTTCTCATATCGGAAAAAATTGGGTCTACAACCGGGGGACTTTTTGCAGATATGTCGGGAATTTTCAATGATTTGGACAATTAGATCGTTGTGTAAGTTTGTTGCACGCAGAAGAAGAAATCATTATAACTACTCAAAAATTCGCTTCATTTTTATGTTATGGGAGGATTGTGGATTCAACGTACTACACATGTCGGATTCAGTGACATTTTCAAAATACTTCCTTACTTTTGACAAATTTCCAACTTGCGCTATGAAGAGCTTAAACTGCTAAGCTGCCTTCGTATTAGTACCTAAAATTCCAAGAAGAATCCAATAGGATGAGAAAGAAGAATGGCAATTTTTGAAAAATGAAGAAAAAAATGGAGGTTAAAATGTAGGTGAATTGCCTTATTCACTGCACTTGTCCGTGAGCGAAAATGATGCCTAGGCTTTCATCCACCATATATGACAAATATGACTCTTTGTTCAAGTCTCTAGAGTTTCTAAAAGTGTGACAAAACTCATGCAACGATCCGGTAGATGATTTGCTGATAGCATGAAACCATTGTGATCACATTTGGATTTCTTCGTTTAAGATGTGCACAAGTTTCCTTCGCCTTTTTCTTCTTGATGTACATCTCGGTGCAATCACGTATTCGATGTTAACTGTATGCTTTTAGCGTAACGATACATCAGACTGGATCGAGAATACGGCCTGGTTGTCACATGTTCGGCACTCGTACTATGAACCAGCTCGTCACGTCCTTTTGGACAAATATCACACCTTCTTTCTACGCTAATTAGCCTGGTGTTGGAGCGCCGAGGTGCTGCTGCTGTTTCCATTCCCCCACCCGTTGTCGCGTACCTCGCTGAATTTCCCGGACTTTGCTGAAGAGTACTCGCTTTCCTCTGGCTGATGATCGCGACCCACCATTGATGAGGACCACAAATTCTACTTACGAATTTCTTATAACATGCTGTGTGAATATCCTCATCACATGCACACGAATCTAATTTCACGGATTTTTTTATTCTTGCGGATTTTCTCATTTATAACATTGTCAGTTGCACGCAAATACATATCTTCATAAAAAGCTTATACGAACAATGCGAAATTCTTGCACTTTGGTTTTGTCATTTGCGATATGGCTGCTTGTTTGACTGTGCTTTCTATGACAGAACTTCTGCTACTACTATTGTCTCTATTGGGCCTGAATATACCAGATATTTTGCTCCAACGATGACTGATTCAAACCGCTCGATGGCCAAGTCTTGCCCCAAAAAGCGGTTCCATTATTTGTGTCTGTACAACGCCTAATGTTTAGGTCCATATTTTGCAATTTTTCGTCTTTATAGTTCATTGATTTGTATCCGGTTCCCCTTTGTTCCTAGGTTGAGATGTATAATACGGCTCTGATATTCCCTTATTTTTACTTTACATTAGTGAAATGGGCTGGATTTGTTTGTGCATGTGATACTAGTCTTTTTTTCCTTAGAATTATTGGTCACAGTTTTATCCTATCTAACCACTATAATCAACGCTATGGTAAAGTGTTCTTCCTCGTGCAAGTCATGTGTCTCCATTTATTTAAAGCAAGGGTTCAGCCGAACCTCATAATATTCTCCTTTATCTATAACGATAGCCTGAGTTAATTTATCTTTGGAGAAGGTCACAGATTAAGTTTAATAACTTCTGAGTCTACCCTTGCTGTGAAAAATTTCGTTCTTGGGATTAAACTTCTTCTACTGGCAAATTTTATATTTCATTCTGATGAAGCGCGGCGTACGCATTTTTAGTCTGTAATTCAATTTTTTGAACAAAACTATCAACAAAACTTTATCTAAATCATGTTCTACAACTATGAAGACATCCGAGCAATATTTCTGGTTTTTCTGTTTTTAAATAGAATGGTTATGAGTGTTGCACTAAGTGAAGCTTGTCGATGGTTCTTTCTTCAAGAATTTTGCGTCCTGAAATGATTTCTAGCTTTAATTTTATGGAGATTGGGTATGAGATTCGTGGCTTTTGTTGAATTCACTTTTGTTTATGCTATTGTGATGCGACTTAGGACTTTATTAACTTTTATTTCAAGGAAAAAGTATTTCGGTTAATATAAGAGAAGGGAATTTTCATTTACACTGAAAGGGTTTTTTTGTAAGATTCAAAATTTTGTCAAATTTGTTTTGGATGATTGAAATAGTAGCTTTATAGGTTACTGTACCAAAAATTTACAAATTGTAAGGTAATTTTACCAATAATTAGTAAAAAGGAAACGGCGATTATGATTTACATGGGGGTTTGCAATCTGTCAATTTTGTTAAAAAAATCTTGGAAACTGCCATCCAGAAGCTGATTTAAGGAGTTCTTCAAATTCTGAACTAATAAATGTCTATAAAACTGCTTAGAAAGTTCAGTACAAATTGGCCATCCTTTTCTTTTGTTCACCAGGGCGCTGATTTTTTTTGGTTATGTTTTTTTATGATTACGTTTCGGTTGTTGAATAAATGTAAATAAACATCTGGAAAATACGTTAATCTCAGCTCAATTCGACTTATTTGGTATGGAAATCATCTTAGAAAGTGGCTGCATTCCAAAAAGAAAACTTGTGTGGTACGTGAATGCGCATCGAATTCTTATCTTTTTTCCCTCATCTTGAAACTACCGTAATCGAATGTTCGAATTTGTTCCAAGGTTGGCAGCCACTCAACCTGCGTGTTTTTTTAATCCGTGGAAAAGGTCGAACTTGTTAGATAAAGGCAGGTTGCAGTGCAACTCTCGAGGACGAAATGGCCTTGCGCGAGATTTGCCAACTCGCGACCATGAACTCCACTTAAAATGCCATCCTCGCGCGTGTTGTGAGCGAGAAATGGTGTGGGGAGGTTGGAAAAACTCCAGAAAATTACCTCGGGTATTTTCTTGCTTCTTTTGGGATGCTGGAATGTCTTCGGAGCTTTTTTGATGTACTTGTCAATAGCTGGCATTGGTCCTTCAGCAAAATCGAACAGGACGTCGCGGAAAAATTCGAATAAGTAGGCGAATGTTGGACGAGCCTACAAAACATCTATCAATGTATAAAGAATCGTTAGCTCAATTTGAAAATCTTCCAATGGGAAACCGCGGCGGGTCCTGAAATGAACGCTCTTCCAAATCGCGCCTTTAGATTATGGTTCACTAGTCATACTAAACAGTTAGGATTCTGGTTTGATTTTATCTAGCCATTTTTTGCATAAAAATCGTCTATTTGCTCAAGATTTTCCCTCAACCTATGCTATCAAACTTGCACTTTAATACTTTTTCAGAACTTCTTATTAATGAAAACATTTTTCTGCTAAAGGGCCGGGCATACTTCACGCGATTTCAGTTGCGAGCGATTTGGCAGTATTCAAACTGTTCATAACTCGCTGTAAGCGCATTTTAAATGGACAAAAGGGCATTTCATCAGTTTACGTAAGTAATACACACTATGCATGTGCAGTTTGCTAGTGTTGGATCTGGAGACTTCTGGCGTATAACCAAATCGCGTCGCGACTAAAATCGCGTGAAGTATGCCCGCCCTTGCATCTAGAAATCAAGTCATCAGAACTCACATCCGGATTGTATCGAACGCACATATAAAGAAGTTCCTCCAAAAATGTTTCTTTGTCTTCTTCAAGCACTATTTCCATCTTTTCTCCTCTCTCAAAAATTGCTTGCAAACTGAAAATTGGGCATATTTATCGTTAGCTCGGGATATTTAGTCGTTCAGAAAACTTCAAATTCCCTTAGCTTGTGTACTTTTCTTCTTATAACTCAATTTGAATTTTATTTTTATTTTGAGAGAAGGCGCTAGGGCATATTTTTGACCAGATAAAAATCTGAAAATGCTGTCGGACACGTTTTTCTTTGAGTTTTTTAAGTGGGCATTTTCGATCCTCATGCTTGGAAAATGACTATTCGAACGTCTATTGTACTTCACCATCAGCATTATACTTCTCCATGACGGGTTTTGTTTGCGTTTTTTGTACCAATATAGAATGCTCATTCAAGCTTTTGTCTCATTATTCGAAATTCGGAACGCATTGAAACAAGAAAAAGTTGCTTACTCCTGGTGAGATTGCGGGCGATGCTGCTGAAAGGCGTAAGGACCAAGGCCATCGTGATTTATCTGAAAAGCACTTTGTAGTATATCATCAAGGATTTTTTGGATGAATAACTAAGTTTTCGGGGATTTGCTTGGTTGAAAAATCGTTCAAGTATTTTGTTTTTATTGGTACGTAATTGAAATAGTCTACAAAGTCCGAGAAACATTTTTGTAAAAATCTCCCTGCAAGTGACAAAGCATGGGCTACGCCTTTGATTTTCAGACTACCCCCCCCCCCCTCTCCCGCCCTTCGAAAATTTTCTTGCTGTTACCTAAGCCCTGAGCGTTCTTTCCTTTCGACTATCGAATTTCTCCTTCTTTTTACCCGGTTATTCTCTTTCCTCTCCAGCAATCTCTTCCGCTTTCCATTAACATAGTACACAAGCGCGGAGCCCTGGTAAAAAGTCCTTATTAGTTCCGCACCCCCGTTACCAGAAAAGATTGCACGAGGGAAGAAAAAGGAAGAAAGGAATTTCATGTCCGGTATGACTGCAATCTTACGTATTACTTTACGCAATAGACGAATATAAGACTCCGGAAAAGTGGGGAAAGACTTTTTGGAATTTCTGCAGAAGAGACTTGTATGTTTGCGAAGATTCGATAGAAGGATGCGATTCAAATTGCCTTTTCCATTATGAAGGATAATTTCAGAAGCGAAGTAGTTTTTGAGTGAATAGAAGATTTTAGTTGTCAAGACAATGACATAGTTTAGTTAGCATTTCAGTCTAAAGCGCTTCGAAGTTCTAAATATCGCGTTCCATCTACTATCAACATTGTCTGGAACGCGGAAAAGAACAAAAACAATTTTTTTCAGCTACTCAAAAGTGTAAAGCGGGATTTTCTTCATCTTTGAAAAGCAGTGAAAGTGTAAAGCTTTTGAAAGGACACTCGATGGCGAAAGGAAGACTAGAGCGAGGGTAATAACTTTTTTCTATGAGGAAACGAAGTAGTTAAGGCAAGGAAATGCGCTTGACAGACTTCCAATTTTTTTCTGAAAATTGCTTGGGTTGCAGTATCAGGGAAAGTGCAACTTTTGCTGTCACAAAATAATTTTTATTGCCATGACTTTCACGGGTACTGTTGAGAGGTGAGTGATTTTTTTCATATTTTAGGCTCTCGCATGGTTTTTTATTAGATTGTCATAATTGAATCAATATTTATTTGCAGAGGGTTTATTTCCAAAGCTGTAGCTCCTAAAAAATCTTTTACACATTTTAAAGAGAAAATTTTGTAATTTGATGACTTTTTTATGATTTTGCGAATATTAGCTTTATGTTTTCGTTTACTTTACGGAGTTTTTCGAGGTTTCTGAGACTCTAACATAAACTTTATAAAGTAACCCTAAGAAGAATATTTTTTTACCTCAAAAATCACACATCCAAAAGCCCAAATATCGCTAACTATATCGAAACATTTATAAAGCACACATTCTGGTGCCCACCATGGCCAATCCAAGTCCGCCAAGTTTATCGACTCCACTACATCCTGAAAAAAAATTTTTTTTGTGCCCCCATAATAATACGGAAGCTCTGCGACTAATATTTCAGTGCTTTTGTTTAAGACACATCTGGCAACAGGAGCGTGTGCTTGGCAAAAGTACAAATCGTAAAAAGAGCACTGAATGGCCGCCGTTGCTCTTCCCGTGATTAAGCATTGGAAATGCATTTCTGAAGAGGGGGGGGGGCTTACCGGGTCTAAGAAATGATAGGTGAGCATATAGTCGGTGATTTTTACACCGTACATATGATAACCATCTTCGCGAAGTATAACATTTGAAGCTCGTAAATGACGATGACAGAGGCCATTTAGCTCCAAAAATCGCATCCCTGCGCTTATCTGAATGTTACTTGAATTTTTCAGGTCTAAAAAGAATAGTGAGTAATTTTAACCTGGTATAGAATTTCTGATTTTTCTCTCAAATACATAGTTTCATTTTTATATTTCCGCCATTGAAGTAGACGATCGAGTGGTACACCAAACGCAAACTCGTACGCAACCCATTTTCCGTATTTCTGGAAAAAGAAAAAACTTTTTTGGCTTCAATGTTACTAGAAACGGAGTTCGAACCCATTCATCATTGCCATAAGCAACGATATGTGAAAGAAACTCGTATCCATTCTTAGTCCCTGCGATATTTGCGTCTTGCTTTCTGAAAACATTTTCTTTGTCTAGAGAAAATTCACGAAAACTATTCTTAGTCTCTGTGATATTTGCGTCTAGCTTTCTTGAAACATTCTCTTCGTCGAGAGAAAAATTCAAGTGAACTATTTTTCATGCTCTTAAGCCACTTCAAAATTCTTTCCGGAATACTTGTACGTTTACTTTTGAGTGCACGTTCCACCTTCAAACTAGTTCCGAGAATTTTGTTGTTTTGTGGTCCTTTCCGTTTTTTTTTCACTCCCTTCAAACCATAGCATGAAAGGCTGTACGAAAATGTTTGCAAGAGAAGAGTCATCGCTGACTCATGTTTTCTCGATTGTAAAAGCATCGTTCGAACGCAAGAAGTGGGGAAGAGGGGTTTATCGGAAACGAATTATAATACAGCGTTATGATAATCTTAGATTAGATGATAAGAATAAAAGTTAGGACCACGATCTTGATAGGAAAAAAAATGCATTTTTTCTTTGCAACGATGAAGGATACGCTGATTTTTTTTCATCAGTTTTATTTACATATTTATTTACGTTCCACATGTTTAATTTTCACTTAGATGACTCGTTTTTTTATAAAGGCACTTCTGTAATTTCCGGAGTGTTTACTTTGCCTACATCTTTTCAACCATCTGCCGTTCTATGCATTTAAAAGAAAAAAGAACTTGTAAATTATAGCCCATATGTTTCGCAAGAAATGATGAAGCAAATGCGAAGCAACGTGCAATGAAGAGCAGTAGTGAATGATTAATCTGGATTTTGTTGAGATATTCATAAGATTCTAGCTTGCTTTTTTGAATGTTTGTGATGGAGAGTCGCGAGAAGCGGGCATCCTTGCAGGAAATTTTTTGAGCTCAGATAGTTTTTTTAAGCACAGAAGTATTAGATTTAGACTGTACGGGCTTCAACCGTGATTACGTTCTTCACGAGTATCACTTTTTTCGACTCAGTTTTTGAGCATGGCGTCTTGAGTTATTGTCTTTTAGCCAAAATCTCGGATGAGGGGAAATATTGGTGAAATAGTTGCATCACTTTGTTAAAATTTGTTCGTAATTGAACACTTACGATCCCTTTTCTCTTTGTCCAACCTTACTCAAGCGCCTGCAATGAATTTTTTCTCCACAAAACTAGTGTTAAGTCCACTTACTGAATGTCTTTCTCAAAAGCCTTCTGCTTGAAAAGTCGTGGACGTTGTTTGCGAATTGTTACTGGGTTGAACTTTCCATTGTAAAAAAGATATCCCTTGTACAAAGCTTCTTTCTGCTCGTTATCAATAATGAAGACTCTATTAGCTATTCTGCAAATAAACTGGAGCTAAGGTCTAGTCATTTTTTATAGTCACATGCGCGAATGCACACATTGTTTATCTTGCGCGTCCCATCCGGATCGCTAGCCGTTCTGTAAATTTTGTAAAGCTCTTACAATGGTTTTCAAATGCCTAGAAAGGACAAAAAATTGAGAGGAAGACGCTATAGGACTCACCAGAACAAAATACTATCCTTGGACAACGAGGACAAGGACTCTACGCGCAATTTGGATGGTGTGTGCATTTGCACATTTTAGGTTACGAAGACTCGAACTGTGGCTATAAATGTACCCAAACTAACCGCGCTTTCATACTTTCAAGTGTCTTTTGTCCATCACCAAGAATAAGTCGAAATGGTGAACGTTCACTTTTTTTGTATGTCGGCTTTTTCATTGGTCCTGTAAAAGAAATGCGCAAAATAATGCTACAAATTACTTAATCTATGTTTACCAAGCATTGGTCTGGGAGGAATAGGTGATGCCGTGTCAAATTGACTAATCCCTCTAAGTATCAAACTGAATGGTTGCTTTGAGACATCCTTCTTCCCGTTTATGGGTAGTGCATGGGCTAGAAAACTAGTAAATTAGAAATCTCAAAAAGCTGCTTTTAGATTTGGTTAGAAATGAGGAAGCTGGAACAATTAATTGACCTAAGGGCCCACTTACAGTGGTAATGTGTAAGCAATAAGTCGATGGATGAGAATGTTTGCTCAGGCTCCACATAGAATAATCCCGTTCTAAAGTCCAGCACATTTTGAAAGATATTTATTTTGTTTATTTTCGCGCCTAACTCACTCCGTTCGTTTAATCTTAAAATATGCTACGACTGGTATCGGACTAGCTGGTGGACCTCGAATAATATCGTTTCCGAGTTGTCTTTCCTGCAAATAAGAATAGTGCATTTTTCACATCAAGGCTTCTATTTGATCAAAGAAATGTGCTATTTAACCGTTTCTAAGTTATCCAACATAATTTGTTACGTTCATCCAAGTCATTTCTTGAATTTTTGGGATCTATCATGCGCTTTTTTGGCAAGCGATCAAACTACGACTACTTCTGGCAGGTTAAAATTTCCAATTCTCTATCACTTTATTCCAAGCATAAAATTATCTTAATGCTTTTGATGAAGTTTTCGAGAGGAGGAGAGCTACTTGCTTTTGGGACCTCCTCTCACCGCTCGAAAATAACCAGTGTCTGCTCAAATTGTGATGGTGGCACGGATAAATGATCTTTAGGATCTCTCAAAAAACTTACAAATATACAAAACCACTCGTATTATGACAAAAAACACCGCACTCCATCGGAGTTAGCCGAACTTTGCGTCGCCATAACTTGCTTCGGAGTGGACAATTCCAAATTCACAGCCACCATTCATCTCACTCGACGAGATCTTCAAATATATAGGAATATCTGCTTGAGTACGGTAGTCGCTCAAATTTTTTGGATCTTCCGGACTTTCGGTCACGGTAGATTACTCAGAGTTATTCATTGCACCGTGTAACTTACCCTCGGTAAAAATCTGGAGTGGTAGTAATTTGGTCGAAACCATCATGTTAACTGAGTTTTCAAGACACCAGCTAACCAGCAGCTTCACATGATTTTCCCAACGAAACCACGAAATAACCAATAGGAAACCTCGAAATGCTATCTTGCAAAGCAAAGTCATTGAAGGGGACCGAATTTCCAATCATTCTCATGCTTGACCGCCTTCATTGCACTTTGCCAAATTTGCAGTTCGGTTTTCAGCCTTGCTCTTCCCATAATCTTATCTAAGCTGTAAACAAGTAAGCTTTCTCATAGTAAGTTGCAGAATGATCTCCCTCACTCTTCTTAACTTGCAAAACCAACACATCATTGTTTTAAACGAAAAAGTGGTCGGGGGTACTTTTTCATTTTAAATTATGATGTGGTGGTTTCACGTCTGTGTCTCATGAAATGAAGTGCTGTTTTCATTACTCTATCTGATAAGGGAACAATGGTGTTAACCTGTGGCCGTATTCATCAACGAACCTTGAGGTTAAATTCTACCTTGAGAGCATGCCTCAAGGTAAAATTTAACCTCAAGGTAACTTTGCTATTCACAAAACTACCTTAAGGTTAAAATCTACCTGGTGGTCAGCTGAATGCTCACTGACGCTTATACAGAGCATGCCATGACGTATTAGCGGTGTATGAGTCCCTCGCTGTTTGTGAAACTTTTAATTGTTAAATTAGTACAAACGTATATACCATAGGTCCAATTTCCGTGTTTTAGCAAAAAAGCATTCTAAGAGACCCGTCGTACTTCACTCAAAAGCGCCCAAGAGCGCGGAAAAGCGCCAGAGAGCCCAGCGCTTCCATTCCGGTGCGCAGTTCCTAGGAACCACTCTTCGCCCAACAACTCTCAAAGCGCTCAAAAACGCGGAAGCGCCAGAATGCTTCCTTTACGTGCTTGACTTTGCACTGAAGCGTTAGTTTTGGAAATATGTATACCAGAACGACTACATTCAGTCACATTTATCATGAAACATGTTTCGACTACATTCAATGTCGGCTCAAGCTTCACCATAAAAGTGTTCTTGCTTTGTAAACATAAGCCAACGCTATTTGCATGACTTTCGTTTTCTAAGTCAGTAGTCTTTCGACCGCTAGAAGGATAGATACCTTTAAATTACTTTGATACATCGTTCATAATTGCTGCTTGCACTAAAAAAACTTTCTAAAATAACATGCTAGAACCTGTAAATTGATTGCATCCTGGCTTGATGTCATCATTGATTCTTAATCTACGTTTTTGAAAGATGACGAGTTCCTATTCCGCAGTTCAAAATTAATTGTAGCGTTGGCTGGCGTTTCTAGAAATGCCTGCTAAAAGTTGCGTTTTGGCGCTTTTGGGCTCAGGGGTTTGGGCGCTTTTAAGCGCTTTTGGGGGAATATGGCACGTCTATGGGACTAGGAAAAAATCTTCATGATTGAGCGTGTCAACTGAGTTTCATTGGATACAAGCCTACGCTTCTTGACTATCAGAGTGTAAGTAGATTAGAATTTGAGTTGCACGATATAAACCGCAAATCGACCTACAATCCTGTAGACAAGCGACGTATGGTGCCTCTGCGCGCGAAAGATCTTGCTTAAGCCTTCGCAAGAATGGAACTGACGATTTGAGTGAACATGCATTGAAACTGCTCTGTATTTATGCGGCGTTTGTAGTCATTATTTGCGCCAGTAATTTTGCTCGCATCAGCTGCAATATCTCCTAACCCATAAATCAAAATTTGATGAAAAACTATTTGAACCATACAACTTCTCTGCGCCGACAAGAAAACAAAATTCAGAAGAAAGCCACCTTAGTAGTCCTCAATATACGATTTGCCTCTGTAGAAGCCGTCAAAGCTTCTCAAGAGAATGCCGTGAGGATCTGCTTCATCAAAGTTCATCTCCTAAGGTTGAAGCCGTCTTCATTGAACGGGAAGCATAACATGAGACACTTTCTCGTCTAGTTTAGTGTTTGGGGAAGATACTGCAAGTGTGATTGAGTGATTCAAATTTCAAGAATTATATCATCATCACATTATCTAGGAGAGAAACGATGTGTTGGTATGGTATATCTCTCAAACTACAATTTTTGAAATTGCAAAATTTGCATCCAGTCAATCTCAACAGTATCTTTATCAAACTTTATAATAGGATGTATACTGCACTGATTTAGTTCTAGCTGCGACCGAGATTGGCAATTATCTATTTAGACTAACGTTTCGGCAATAAGGGCAATAACAATTGGAAAACTACCCGATCAGGCATCTCCTCAATCCTACAAGCAGAATTCCTTGCTTTACATAAATCATAAGCAGTTTGCACGCAGTACTCACATTTCGTTTGCGGGTAAGGTTCTGGGAGATCGCTTAGTGACCGCTTGAAAAGGAATTAAACATGTTTTCACAGTAGGAGATCTGATCCAGATATAGCGCGAGTCTTCGCGTAACACAGAGATATTCTTTTTTGAGAATCATCTTGGAGCTTCTAAAATGAATTCAAAAGGCTTTTAAAGTTTGCAAGTGGATGTTTGAGCTCTGCGCGCTAGGCAAGTTTCACACCAAAAGCAACTCCTTGATGATCTTGCACTCTGTGGGCACCCAATGGAGCGGGTGTAGGTGATCTATCCTGCCTTTAAGAGGTTCTTTACACTAAGAAGTAAAGGGCGTGCCGTTTCTGCCATATACATAATTGCACAGTTTAGAGCTTTGTTATGTCTGACGTAAAGTTTAGAAAGGCAAAGTATAATTCTTATGAATCTGTGATGACGGCCACAAGTTGCAAAGAATTTTGAGGAGGAGCTCGCTTGAATTACAAATTACCGATGGGTTCGATGGTTCGCCCACTAATAATCATTGAATAACTTTCCTTGAAAACACCATGACTAGATGAAAAAAAGACTAAATAAACAAGCAAAATTCAAGCTATTAAGAGTATAATATATTCGTGTTTGGAAAAACGGTTCCGTTAGAAATAAGGAGGTCCTTAAAAAGAGTATAACTGTTTTGTGAAAAGTCAAGGTAGATTTTAACCCTAGCTATCCTAGGGTTAGATTTTACCTCGAACGCATAATAGAAAGTTGATGGAGAGATGATGATTGAGGTAGATTTTAACCTCAAGGTAGAATGATGAATACGGGTTTATGCGTTTGAAGGTTCATTTCTACCTCAAGGTAGACTTAACCCACGAGAAAATTTTACTGCGATCATGTTGTGAATACGGGTTATAAACTAAAATGCTAGCTGAGGTAACTTTTAACCTCAAGGGTTCGTTGATGAATACGGCCACTGCTGTTTAACTCATAGTTTGGTTTAGAATGAAACAAGCATGAAACAGTTATGGTTTTCTGCTAGTTACTTGCTTGTTTCATGATTTTGTATGACCGATTGAACTGAGTGGCCGTGAAAAGATGATCATGCTTACCACGATGTAATCATGATTGAACTATAACATCATTTGTTGGTTTCGACCAAATTACTACCACTCCTGGAATATCAGTGAAATCTGACCGACTTCTGCACTTAGGCGCTCTGTGTACTAAAGATGTAGTCGAACTGAGTCGAACGATGCTTTTGGACTTGGAAGTCCGTCAAAGCAAGATATGTTGTCATTAACACGGGTGTTACGAGCTATCACATAACCTTACAGTTTCGTTGTTTTTGTTTCGCTTTTTGCGTTGTTTCGTTGTTGCGGTTTTCATAGGGTCATCCCCTATGTAATAAATGAAATGGAATGAAAGATATGACGATGGGACGCGAAGTTTGCGCTGGCGGAGTGAGAAAATGCGAGCGCTTTGTAAGCATTTGCAAATGTTTCAGAAAGCTTGTTTGTATGATCATATTCATAAGGCTTCGCTCTTTACAAAACAAGGTTATCAAGATTTCGATAGTTTGTATTCGTCCTTTTCAGTTTCCTTATTGCTGTTTATTGGCTTCTCCAGAGAGACGAATGTAGTGATTAAATACGTAATTGCGCTCAGTAGCTGCTCTGGTTCATTTGCCAATCTGTTATTTATAAGCCTAGTTTTCTGGAGTTACCTTGAACTTTCTGCCAAACTTTTGGTTATATTTGTGATTGATTTCCCATTCATAAATCCACTGCTCTGCGCTTCCTATAAATTTTGGCTTATGAGAGTTTCAATCGAAAACATTCATGAATCTTACCAGAAATGTTTCTTACAACTAAAACAAATTCTGCCCATTCATCCGCATTGATAGGCTCCATCTCCTGAAATTTTCTTCGGTAAGTTTTAAATCAACATATTTTTTGACAAATTTTTCGCATAAAAAAGGATTTTTGGGATACCGGTGGTTGGCATACAGCATAGCTACCCATGAGCAGTGAAGGATCCCGAGACAAGCGCATTCCAGCTTCGATACAAGAAATGCGACCCATCCACCATCTAAAAGTTGGAATTATTTGTCGAGAATTTTGCTCTACCTATGGAACCTACTGGCCACTTGCCACCTCCTCGGCTGCCGGATAGGCGCTGAAGATTCTGTTTTCGAGTTTCCTATAAGTTTTTGGTGTAGTTCAAGTGCTCAGGTCAACGTAAGACATGCAGAAGCTCACGAAGATCTTTTAGACTTCGGATACAAATAGCTCAAAGGAATGAGTCCTGAAGCGGTCTGAGCCAAGGTTTCAATCTTGACTTGTTGACTGTTTATCGAGACAGTTTTGCTGAAAATTTAGGAATTGGAGAAAGTCGTGTTGACCGATATCCGGTTTTGGTATATCTCAAAATTTGCTTCATGTTTATATGAACCACAATGAAAAGTTTGGCTTTTCAAGTGAAATTTCTCACTAAGACAAAGTATCTGGGGTCTCATGATACGGTGAACTGCACTCCTTTCGCTTGAGCGTATGTTCTCATAGTAAGAGAGAGTTGAAAAATTTGCGATAAACTCGTTTGTCGGTCATAGAGCCTACAGCTTGCTGAACAAAACTTGATGAAAGCGTAGTCATAAGCGATTTTGTTTAATCTACGACATTTACACCAAGGCTGTTGTTTTTACTCCCATACTGAAAGACAGAGGCAAGCGATTTTCTAAAGAGGTACCCTTTGATTCAACCGGCGTGGCGGCTGGAAGGACGGGCTTTGTGACCTAATTAAGACCGCGCGCGCCCGCGACGCAGTCTGCGTCTCTCCCGCGCGCGTGCTTTTCGATCATTACCTTGCTTTGATTAGGTCTTGATTAGCGTGCCTCGCAGCCGCCAAGCCAGTTGAATTTAAAGGATAACATTGCGAGGTGTGAAGGGTCGCCAATAGGTGCCGCCTTCCGGAGCTACTGATCCTCATGCTATTATACAACATGTGGAAAAGGGACAGTAGTCCGCGTAAGTCGTTCCTAACGGCATTATGATCCCCATACAACCGTTGTCTTCTACCGTCTGTCATGCATGCTCAAAATCAGTACTTGTAATTACTCTTGATCCTAGAAGGCCATACAGATGACTTACTTTTTCACGATATCTGTCACCCTGACTTGCTGTCCAGGCTCCTTGATTTCGGCGAGGGTAGGCACATTCAATGTCCAACGCACCTACAAGGCATCATCTGTTGTCTATTTGGCAGATTACGAGTGAAAATGCTTGCGACATTGTAAAGCAGTAGTTTTTTTCGGAGGAGTAGTCGATCCAACAAAGGATTGTAAAAGCGTTGCCACGCCTCTCCTTGGGCGATATCTGCGGCTCTCACAGCAATTTGGTCCTTCATTACCTTGTAGATGTCTGCTGGTAGTTCGGGTGTATCGACGCTGCTTGACATCTTCCGAGAAATGAAACAGACTAATGTATGAGTAAACTGAATTGTTTTAGTGGCCTTGTTCTAATATCATGATAGTTTGTTCGCATGGTGAACCATTTGTCATCTAGCAGCTTTCAAGGTGGTAAGGTTAGCTTTTCCAGAGCTTTGCCTCACGAAATATGGATGGTCCATTCAATGTACTAACTACGACTCAAAAGTCGGTTTAGATGGCAGCTGTAGCGAACGAACGCGAACAAGGAGTCGATGCTGGACCCGTTGAGGTAAAATCAAAGGATTTTTCGGGTTCAGCTTCATCTTATTTTAGAATCTTCTTCATCAGTCAACCACTCTGACACAGCGAGCCATCAATGCAATTCGATCGGCAGAAAGTGCAAAAGCAGACCTCCGTAATGACCTTACTTCACTCACGACTTCGTTCGACAAAGCTATTCAGAAGGTGAATAATGTATTTCATGCATGCGACAGCCTTCTGAGCCGTTGCCGAAAAAAAAAGTTCCAGTTTTATCACCCTATATGGTTTTCAGCCACCTTTAGGCGCATCTAATCCCCTTCTAGTGCCAGTCCATCTAGCTATGACTTTCCAAAATGAGTTTGGAAGCTCCATGAAAGAAGCTCCTTTCTGCTTCCAGAGTCTTGCTTTGATTGATAGATTGGACGAGTCAGTTTATTCTGGAAGGATTGATAATGCGAAGAAGAGAGCGAAAGTCGAAAAAGAAGCGAAAAATCTGATTGAGAAGGCTGTAAGTAGAAAGTGGCGCAATACTTAAACTTTGCCTACTTTTTAAAGCATTCTAATCCGTCCGATAATGCTGACTTGGGCCTCTATGAGCGTACTATGGATGTCTTAAGGGTACGGTGCTGATATTTATGATGGTAAATTTATGATGTGACTTTTCAGGATTCTGCGATTGGCTTGCATCGTGAATATTTCAACTATGAGGAGACTGTGGATGCAAGAGATATTCTCGCTCAGGTAAGCAACAATTTTTTACGTTTGCTGAATTTTTATCAACTGATCAGTGAATGTTAAGCCTTATAATGCAAAGCAAATTCTCTATTTTTGCTTTTTTCCTGAAAGTGCTTGTGCTAAGAATTGTTGGGACAGAAAACAACAGAATTTCTCTTGTTTGTCACATCTAGTTGTAATTTTTGTTGGAGTAAAAAATTGTTCTTTTTCGACCATGAATTTCTCGGCATCAAGCTTTGTAATAAACTGCCTATGTTTCGCTCTTCATTCAATAAACACCGCTTCTTTCATGTTCTGGAATACACGTACCGTACCAATGCTTTGGAAAGGTCTTTAGCCGAAAAACAAGCTGCATTGGACGCAGGTGGAATGGATACGGTAAAACACTCGCTCTTTCCATCTTTGCTTACATATTTGCCTTCTAATCAACACCAATTGTTCTTGGGATTTTCGCAGATTGGCCACAACTAACGAATTTAGAGTACAGTGGCTACACCCCCTACCCACCTACCCAAAACTTTGCAATTCTTTATTCAGCTCAGTAACATTCTGAACAAAATCTCTGAGTCGTTGGATAAGCTAAAAACCTCTAATAGCGATCTTGATGCACCAGCAGCAGATATAGAGAAGACTTTGAATGAAATGAAGGAGAAATTAGCTAAAGGAGTAATTTTTCTATAATTCTACTGTTTTTGCGAGCGCTAAGTTATAATTTACAGATTTATGGACCAGATAATCCAAGCAAGCCTCCATACGAGACAGCAATCGCAAATCGTAAGTTGTGTATTTGTTTTTGAATTCCTAGACATAAACACAAACTTTTGTAGATCCCCGCATTGTCGCAGCTACAACGTCTGGATACACATTGTAGAAAAAGCTATTGACAGTTGTAATTCGAAACATTCGCTCGATACAAAGTCATCGTAAATGCTAATAAATTTGTTTGTTTACGCTTGTTTATTCTACACATAGCAAGGAGGTCCACTTTGTACTGTTAACAATGCCATACATACTTAATAACGAAATTTCTCTCTGACCTAATTTGATTGAAGTCTCCACATCTGCTTAAGAGTAGGCCATTTGAATGCAAATTTGTGAAATTTTATGTAAAAAATTAAGAGTAATTAGAAGTTCAAGAGTTCCAAATTTTATACAAATCATAGTTGAAAGATTTGAACACATGAATGTGCAACTGCCTTAATATTACGGAAAAACTCCCATCTTATTTACTTTCTCAGTATTTTTGGAAAGAGTGCTATTAAATGCTCGATCGTAAGAAGTGTAGATCATATTATTACCGAAAAAGGACTCAACAAATGCTCAAAAAAGAAATTTTGCAAAGTCCCGCGCGCGTCTGCGATTACACAATCCATCATCTTAATATACTATACTCCTCCTCACGAATTCTTTGCGTTACTTCAAAGCCCAAGATGGATTTGACGCTCTGAATGCCCATCAAGTGAAGTGAGAAGAAAAACAAAAACACGTCCCATCTTTATGTTTATTATGTTGACAATAAATTATGCACAGACACGAAATGATGTTCATCATTTGTTGGTAAGTAGCAGGAATGAGATGGGACAGAGACAAGTAAATGTACAAAAACACACAAAAATCAATTGTAGAATCATTGGAAATATTAATAACCGTAACACAGACCAAAACTATAGTTCGTTTATGGTGAGGAATATGCGCGTGAAAAGCTTAGGGAGTACGGTAATCAGAATGGTACGCAATTCATGGCATGACTGGAGATCATAGTTGCAGTAAGTACAGCTATAGGAGATCAAATCTGGATCGAAGAAGCGAATGATCAGTCCAGGTGGTGCCATTGAGCCACCTGACGTCCTGGATTTTTCAAAACCTCGACAATATGCTGATCTTCCATGTTTAGTAGCGCTTGTCCAATCACATCGTTGCGATTTGCGCGATCGTGATTGATCACCTGAATTATTGATTGATTTACTCATTTGCATGCTTATAAAATGTACTGTAATCGTTTGCAAAAGATCAAATTCTTGCCAATTTTCATGGATTCTCAATTTTTTCTATCCAGGATTTTTCACATTTGCTTATTTTTACATTACTTATCACAAAGGGAGATTTATCACGTTCGCCTATAAGTTTACACTGCTATAAAATTCAAAAATGATGATTTGCTTCTGTTGCAGGGTTGCCGAACGATTAGTCCGCTTCATCACGAAAATTTTGGCTGTTTTTTTTACAACGTCCGGGAAAAGAAAAGTGAGTTTTGCTCTAGTGATTTTTTTTTCGAAATGCTCAAAGTATGTTTATGCATAATTGATTTTACTTTCAATAACCAAATCCAAGCAATTTTTGCAATAAATCCGCTTCAAATGGTTGCAAAAACTATGCCACAGCAAATGGGGGCGGGGCAGATGGCAAATTGCGGCGTGGTACATAATTTTTATCATATAGCGAGCCTACGTTTGAAGTTATTATGCGGTTTCCTCAGTTTTCTGCTAGAACACCGAACCCGAGCAACTTTCCAAAAACATGTATGAAAGAACGTAAAAACTTGCTGCGACAAATGGGGTGGGGCAGAAATAAAGTCGTGTTTGATAAATTTGAACAAAATGTGTCATGAAGCAATGACGTCACTTTTTCCTTGAAAGGACTATTTGTACTTCAGCCCCTGTTCCCATCTTCCTCCCCCGTTTTTCTCTTCCCACTCTCAAAAAAAGATGAAAGTTCGTTTTTTTCTTCTGCGCCCTAATCTCCTTAGAATCACTGCCCGCTGAGAGCCTCTTGGTAATAATGGACGGGAGGCCGTATGCCGATGAAGAGATAGATGCGTCAGCGCTAAGATCGAACATCAAAAAAGTCTATGAAGCTTCATTAAGCATGTTGTTTGTGCGACATGCACATCTAGGCACGAATGGTGTTTGGTGCGTGAATGAGCGAGCAGTTCATTGCACTGTGACAAAGTCTTAGATGCAAAGTCGAGTGAATTACGCAGGTTGTGTACGGGTTACTATCTAATTTGGCTATTTTGAAACTGAAAGTTGAGCTTCTGAAACGAACGAATGAAAAAGAAGAGTTTTTGCACAAGTGTTAATTTACCCATTATTTGTCGTAAACTATTCAATCCCTATGACAAATTTAGATTCCGCAATTGCACGCTCATAGCAAGCGTTTATTATTCCTCAATGTCACAAATAGTGAAGTGTGTTGTTAAACAATGCATACTATATTTGTGATAGAAATCCCCTGTTATTGTGAGGGAATACGAAACTCCAAAGCATATAGCCCGCGTGGCCTAATGGATAAGGCGTCTGACTTCTAATCAGAAGATTGCCGGTTCGATCCCGGCCGTGGGCTTACTTTTTGCGAATATTCGAAAGGTTCAATCAGTGTTCGTGAAAAGTTTAGAATTAATGCCAAAGTTTTACAAAGTGTTTTTCAAAGTATTTTACTACAATATCTTCTTCTAGCATTCGAATGCTTTTCATCGAATAAGCTTTGAAATGAGAAAAAACCAAAAGTTATAGAATGGGTTTCTGTTCCAGAGAAAGCCAGAAAATGGTTCGATTCTTATATAGAGTTTTTCTTCCAATGTATTTTTCTATGAAAGTACTCAACAATGCAACTTTCAGTTCATTTTTTGCATTCATATGTCGAATACACAACCGAACCCTCCTCTAAGCTGAAAAAAAAATTTTTAAAATATTTACCTGCATATCGATGACGCAGTTGTCCATCTTATTTTCCGGTAATTCAAAAACGAATGATTCATTATAGACGGGATTGACGGTAGCACGACGTACATGAGTTTTCTTCTTGATGATTCTTTCACCATTATCCTTGCGTAGATAAAGTTTTACATATGGATCTGAAAGCATATGGAAATTATTGACATTTTGTAAATAGTTTTGCAGGTTCTTCTTTTATTAAGTTTGTTGTTATGACGTTTATTTGTGAAGAAATCTTGCAAGTGAGTGTGTTTTGACGTCTTCTATTCAAAAAATTTCCCCAAAATTCACCCAAGAGAATTTTCCTGCACGTCATTTTCCGCCTCCCTTTTCCCTCCAGTTTTCGTGCTACCCGAACTTCCTGACATGCAACCACTTTTATGGACTTTTACGTCACATGCCGCCTACTGACACAGCTGAGTGCAATTGCTTTTGGAATTCGTGGACGGGCAATTGCTAGTTATTTTAGACAGTGATGAGGCGTGTGCCACCTCAGAAAACAAGAATTCTATTGAATTTGCCCACTTCTGCAGCGAATCTTCTGGAAAAAGCGCTTCTTGGCACTTTACAGCTATTCACTCGAGACTTGATGAGCCCCCTCAGCTCTGTAAATGTGATGGGCGATGTGCTTGTTATGCCTAGTCCCACGCGCATACTGCGAAAACATGCCCTTAGAGCCTCGATGTAAGGACAATTTTTGCCCCATTTTGTGATGTAAATGGGTCTGATGCTTGCTGTTCTATGCAGTAACAAGATTTCCAAGTTTAATGGGGGGAAGGGTTTGGTAATTTGCAAGTTAAACGAGGGGGATAAAATAAATGTGAAAATCAATAGTTAGAACATGAGTTGCTATTCACTATCATCCTCGTTTAGGAACGATGGCTATTAATATTTTATTGGAGACCTTTACTTAGTTACTGCTCGGGCGGCATCTCATAATAGTCATTCATGGATGAGAAATTCGGCGCTAAACTCTTGCCCACTACCGTAATCGTTGCCTGCTTTCCGAATGGAGTACGGTGCAGGGCGAAAGTTTAGGATTGAATATCCCGGCTAAGGACAAACCCTATGAGCTACCCTTTGGGCAATAGCATGACTAGCGCCTCTCAATTATTTCCACATTAGAGACCCAGGGAGGGGGGGCACTTGCCTTGTTACTGCTTTTGATCTCCCCCCTTCCCTTCCCCATGAAAAATTGTCGTGAGATAGAAAGGGATGCTAGTCCTTCAAAATTTTACAAATTTATGTTTAAACGAGTTGGGATTTGAAATTATTAGGAAGGACCTCATTTTGAAGAAAATTGGGAAATCTCGGCGAATACTAAAGCAAAGCCCCTACATTTAACTTGCAAATGTGATTTGCGGCTATTACGGACTTCGCGCTCGTTAGACGACCAACAACACATTTGCAAAGGAAATTCGCAGCTGCCTCAAAATTCCATGTACTTTCCAAAAATCTTATATCTTCGGGAATTTTGCTCAGATCTATGAAACAGAAACGATTTTCAGCACGTGATGTCCTCCTAACTCTTCCCTCGCCTCCCCTCCTCTCCCTTCTCCCCGTACTTTGGTCACCACATAATGCATGTAATTTGATTACTCACCTGCACTTCCGGTCTCATTCCTGCTAAGGCCGCGTGCTTTTAGCACAACTACGGTAAGATTGTTGAAAGCCGGTTGGTAAGTCAAAGAAAGCAGCAGTTCACCTCGTGCTGCTACCGTATCCGATGCTCGTGCTTGTAGTGCTAGTTCCACTCTGTAATTGCGGACATTGGGCGATTACAGGACGCGAAAAATCATTTTTATATCATGGCTGAGGAACTTTTATAGAAATTAGTGCGAAAGTGAGGATTATACTACGTTAAAGAAGATATGAACGAGTCATCACACGCAAAGAATGGATGCGACTGCGTCCAAGCAAGATAGTGCGTGCGTATAAGAGGCAGCAGACGATAATAGAGGTGAAAAAGCGTTATAACAGCGAGACGCCGACAGCGTGCGCGATAACCCTGTCTACGTTCGATGACGTGCCTATATCTGGTCTTTTTGAAACTAATGGGTTACAGTAGGTTACGGTAAAAATCGGCTTCTACCCTCCCTCCTGGAGTCAAACTTTTGAAAATATTAGCTCACCTCATTTCTTGATAAAGCATCAACTCCGCATCAGCAAGTCTATACACACATTCTCCCACAACAGTGTCCCGACTGTATCGATCGAATGCAACAACCTAGAAAATCAATTATTGATTTTTTACAGCGATCATTTGTATAGCACGCTTACTTGAAAATGTAATGTGCTCATAGTGATTTGTTCACTGGTCACTCCATACATAGTAAATTGTTCATCGTATTTTGGTGACGTCGTCGAACGTACGATGCGGGTTTTGACGCGATGTTCGCGTTCTAGAAATATTGATTGATGGGGATCGATTTATTGATTAGCAAGTTTTCTTGGTTTTGTTTATTCTTACCTGGCAGAAGCTGTAATTTCACATATGGATCCAACAAACATTGCCCATCTCTTGATACGACCAGTTCGCAGAGGTCCCGGCATTCGACCAAACCTATCTAAAATCAATTATTGATTAACTATCCCACTTGGCTAAAAGCCAGTAAACTTCAGCCTCGACTTTTATAGCTTTGGAGCCCTTCTGCGCTTACTCTGAGCTATTTTCGTTTAATCATGCGATGATTAAAAAACACGCATCGAAATGCGATTAGCCGAGCGAGTCATAAGGGGAGCGAAATTGCATGATAGTGTGAAGGGATAAGTAAACAACATCGTAATCCTGGATGACGTCACAAGAAGGGAAGAATAAGTAAACAAATTATTTGTATATAAAAATATTCGTGAAATTATTCGACGTCATCATAATTTATGATGATGTCGAATAATTTCACATATATGCATACATTTACTTTGTTATTGCAAAGCCCATAGGGAGATGAGACAATTATTAAGAGAGAAAGTTCTCCATTTTTTTATATTGGCCAAATTATGAATATCATAAAACTTTAATCTCCATAACTTTTTTCGCATTCGAATTCGAATCTAATATGACGTCACCATTTTTCGAAATTCCCTTATTTTCTTCTTTTGTTTTGCAAATTTCCATGAGAAAAACGAGACATATTTTGAGAAAAAAATTTCCCAAATAATTGCTATAAATTATGTATCATGGTTCTATTTCGAAATATTATTTACATGCAGGTTAGAATCTACTTTCACCCTGATCTTTGCACAACATCATCGCCATTTTCGTCCCAGTACCTCTGACCGAATTGAATTAGGTCGCAATTGCACACAAGACACCAAACCACAAACATCTGAGAACGAAACCACAAACTTTCCCATCTTGCGCATGCTCGATAATGTGAACGACTCAATTTTGTCGTGTAATATTTGTAGGCTAGGTGGAACAGAAAATTTTGTGCAAAAATAATTTTGTGGCATAAAAGGCTTTCCAAAATTTCATTCTGCCAAGAAAATCCATGCACCTTCCGAATTTCTGTGGTTCGGTCGCAAATGCACACAAAACGTAGAACTAAAACCTTCTGAAAAGGAATCTAACGTAAGAACCTTCCCTTTCATTGAACTTCGAAAAAACTTTGAAAAAATCGTACTCACAGCTCGGATGTGTTATTTGTGGGTTAGGTGAAACAGAAAATTTTGTGCTAAATTTATTCTATGCTTAAATAATGTGCAAAACTTTTTCTCTGTTCCCTACCATGGAATTTTTGATGTTTGCTCTGCAGAGACTTGACATTTTTCCCTATTTTCTTCCCCCCCCCCCCGCCCCCATCTCCATCTCTCCTTTCCTCTTTTTTTCCGACTGAAATGCATTTTGCACCACCCGAATACCAATAGAGCAGCTGCAATTCCAGCGTTTTTCAACCCGTCTAGCTATTGTGGTAATGGATAACCCTTGCGAATGTGATAAATTACCCTCCTCTGTTGGGGATTACCCCAGTGGATTCACCACACTAAAACGCTTGCATTGTTTTTGTTGTGTAGAAGCTTAGGCAAAAGCAAGTGAATATATTTTCGTCGCTTTCGAGACATCGATTTTGTATACGTTTGAGGAAAAAATGAGTTTTGCGCAGTGTGCGTCCTTTAATAACATCATAAACGATAGCAAAAACATAGGGCTGGAATGCGAAATAGTAGTATAGTGAAGCTAGTTCGAGCAAAACACACAATAACGGAAATAGCTACCCTGAGTCTTGAATTTGTTTAAATAATTTTTGAGACACATGAATTTGCTTTTTTGTACATTTAGTGACCTTTCAAATGTTAAAGAGTACTCATTTAATGCCGTTATCACATTACTTACTTAGCTGACCCGGCTTATGATGTTGAAACTTTTTGCTGAGTTCCCTGCCTCAAGGGCCCCCTCCCAACAAAAAAATCAACTCTCGAGGCACATCCGTCATTGGGCTGACTAGCTCAACTTCTTCAAAGTCAAAAAGTTCTGAAGATGAACTTTTATGTCCCAAGGCACAGCTCAAATCAGTAAATATGATTTTTGCCTCTGGATTCCGATTTTAGAAGGATGAACGTCAGACCGAATATTTATATCATCTTGAGGATTTTAAGGAGTCAAAAACATCCACCCCTCAAATGTAGTTTTTTCACATTTACCAAATAAACTTGCATGAAAGTAAAAATTACTGTTATCTGGTGCAATGGAAACAAAAAATTACCCGATATTTATGCGAAAAACAAGAATGCATGATAGTATTCTAAAAACAACATCGTAAACAAAACAGGCTACAATGACGTCATAACTTTTTTTTCTACAAATTCCCACAAAATTTTTCCTTACTAAAACGTTCGCTTTTGTTAGTTCATCGAGAAAAGCATGGCTCCATTTAGCATCAAAAAGATAAGTCACCATATTAGTTTTGATTGTAAAATAGCTAATCATTGAACAATTTGATTTGTTTTAAATTTATCTCAAGACGAAGAGTTCGACTGGAATACGGGGAATTACCTACTTGTGAAATTGCTGATATCAACTTTTTCTTTATTGGAGCCGATTCTCTAATACTCTCGAAGAAAATCCAATGTTCAAGTTTAAGGTGACACACTCACATTATATTGGTGTCTTGAAATTTTACAGGATAATGTTCGAGAGTTTCAAAAAATTTCTAGCAATGCAAATGAAAAGCATGTCTGGCTTTGCTTGAGAGAATGTGCAAAACTCAGACTTTAAAGAATTTGGGAATGTTGTTTAGATGGTGATGAAATGCTTCAAAAATCAAGCGGTATCTTGCCAAGTTTTCACTTTTTATCGGTTTTTTTCAACATCGACCACCGGTGGTTTTGATTCCCACTTTTGAAGCATATTCGAAACGGGAACTTACAATTGCAGTTTTGAAATGTCTTTATAAAAATTTGAAATTGGAGATGTTTGATCTTTGCGAACTGATTTTGTTCTTTCAATTTTCTATTCACATCATCTGTTTCAGTCTTTTCACCCGCATTATGGAATGTTTAAAAAGTGAGCTGATTTTTACAAGTTATGTTAGATTTCAAAATTCTGATCACCCTTCTGTCCTGTAATCTTTTCAGGATTTCACACAATTTCTCGATAAGATTCTTCAAAAACTCATTTTTGGCTAGTTCATCAACCAAAAATTTACAAGCAATCTTTTTGGTCAACATTTTAAATATCAAATAACAGCTACAATATTTACTTTTGAACGATTTGTTAAAGCAGATGCGATAAGTGTTATTTTAAGTATGTTGTATTACAGTTTTTCTATGTTTTAGAGTATTTTTAGTAAAAATCTTCCTCCCCCCCCCCCACCCGCCCAGCTTATCTGAGATGTTTGTAGGAAAGGGAGTAAGTAAGCTAATTTATTCGTTGTCACGAAACTCGGTCGTCGAGCATCTACGGGGGCAGATCGATTGGACTTTAAGCTCGGGGGGCTCGACAGCTCGTCGGATGCACATGCCGTTGATTGTTTTTCACAGATAACAAGCATATCCCATAAGTCACTCGAGGAACGAGTGGGAGTTCTGGGAGAGATTTTTTTGCTAATAGAATCTGCAAGAATTTCGAAAACAGCAGGTGGATGTCGTCATTTTATGGGTTTTGTAAAGAAAACAAACGTAAAGTGAGATGTAGATTTTTCTGGAGTGTAGATGTCTTGAAGTGGCCCTAAGGAGACAGAATAGCTCCAGATTTAGTTTCGTACGAATTTCCCCCCCCCCCCCCTCCCCGATTTATATCTAAGAACGTGTAATTATTTCAGTTCCATGAAATTGCTCGTCAACAAAGAAAAGTGCAAAGCGCACGTGAGAAAATGTATGATTAAATACGTAGGGATGAGTACAAATGAGAGGTTTCTCTCCCCCCCCCCCCCTCCCCTCCCCCTTACCCTTCTACAAAGCCCTGTAGTAGTAGACTAGCACAGTTAAAAGAAAACGTAAGTGGCTGTTCTTTAGTTTTTTTTTTGAAGATTTCTGCAAGACTGACTTCCCTAGAAATAAGGCAAAATATTCTTCTTTTGAAGCGTCAGTTGTACAATACAATGATTTTTTCAAAATAGATCTCATAACCGTCTCCTAACAAAACAAAGAGGGTAGACTATTTGAATAACCTGTGACTTTTTCACAAAAATCTAACTAATTGGCTAAAAATAGACTATAGTAGATATCACACAAGCGCGAAAAGCCTAGAAATTTCGTTTTGCTACATCAAGTATGTACTCTGTCAAATAAAAAGTTTCTTCGGGATTTTCACGAATTGAAATCTTATAATTAAACTTCTCCTCTTCCGGTTCATATCTCTTTACCCTCAAAGTAGCAAGAAATTTCGCTACTTTTCCATTCAAAAAAGAATTTGCATTTTTTCGTGCATCAAATTTGGTAAAAACTTCACAAAGTGGAGAATCGACTACACCCACGTGTCAAAAAAAACGGTCCTTACAAGATTATTTTTGAAAATTTCTAGGCTGAAGCACGTATTTTATGAGTACATTCTAAAAATATTGGGTCCGGATAATGGAAAAGTCGAAATTTCCAATTTTCATTCTTATATCCCCATTTAAATGCTACAAGTACAATTGAACAGCTATAAAACGATTGGATGAATAGAAAACTTTTGGTTTTCTGATCTTGCACTTGTGTTTTTGAGCATCAAACCAAATTTGTTGAGCATTTTGAAGCCACTTTTTGAGCTGATAGCCAATGCATTGCCATTGTGACAGAATGTTTTTGTCGAAACAATGAAAACAGCTATGAGTGGGCGCTGCAAGTCATGTTTAGGCTGTCTGCATTCGCGCAAAGAGCTGGACAACTGTCACTTTTTTGGTCAAAATGTTTCCAACTCTTTGTCTGCAAAATTCTGGATGAAATGTCTTACCTGCAATGCAAGTGATACAGGATCATAGCTCAGCGTGAACGTGATGACACCTCGTTCAGCGGGTAACTCGGACGGTGAGAGTTTTCTCGTCCGATCTTCGAGAAGCGATTGGAATGGGACAATAGGGCTCGGTGAGGAGTCAGTTGAGAGTGGACTCTGAAAAAGTGATTTTATACGGATTTTTCAAATTTTAGAGCTTTTTTTTACCTGCAGTGGGGAAGGACTTTGTTTTAATCCACCTGGACCTTTTGGATAACCATTTCGTACTGCGATTATCTATAATTTGCAATTAGTTGAGCTACAGTGAGATTAGCAGAATGAGCAGGAAGTTCTGTAACTTCCTGGTTAGCTTTTTGTTGTCAAGGTGATATTGTAGTCATGGGACCCTAAGTGCGGAAAAGGATGAAAAGAGCCAGGAGAAAATTTCTCTATAATTTTTGAGTGAAAGTGAAGGCGATAGTTTCGAATTTCAACCACAAACTATCAGGTTGATGCATAATTCCTGCACCAAAATAGGTACATACCGCAATAACTCGGAATAATCCTATATCCCATGCAGGATTCGATACATCATTAGAGAGCGCAAACCTAGCTCTACAAGATTGTGCTCAAATATCTACACCAGCTTTGATCCACGCGAAGTTTTGAGCCAAAAACTGAAAAAAACACGCGTCCGAAAACCTTAAGAAAGATCTTTAAAAATTGTAACTCCGTTCAAAAAGCTCCTACAAAATTTCTTTCTTGCTCACGCGTAGACATTCCACGTAAGACATCTATTTGTGAGGTTGCTGTATTTTTTTCTCAGCTAAAAGATGAGAAAACGGAGTTTTTCATGTTTTTGCCAAATTAGAGCTGAGATGTTCTAACACTAACAGTTGTATAGTACATGCCGTTAACAGTGAAACTTTACATTTTCAGCCTTCTAGAGCAGCTATTTCACGAGAAATGACAGATCTAGCTCTCTTCATCCGAATTTTTCTTGCCTAGTTGCAAAAAATTCGATATTTCTCGTAAACCAGCTGCTGTAAAAAGCTGAAAATTCACACTCACGCTTCTAAGGTCCTATAGTATACAATTGTCAGCGCTAGAACATCTCAGCATTGTTTTGGAAAAAACATGAAAAACTTCGTTTTATGAATTTCTAGCTGAGAGAAAAATACAGCAACTGCATAGAAGAATGTCTTATACGGAATAACAATGCATGAGCAGGCTAGAAATTTTAAAGAATTTTTCCGAACTGTCTTCCAATTTTTCTTGGTTTTTTGGGGCGCTTGGATCTTTTCGTTTTTGGCTTCAATCTTCGCTTGGATCAAAGCTGCTGCAAAACTTTAGTCACTATTTTGTAGAGCTAGGTTTGCTCTATCTAATGATATATCGAATCCTACTTGGGATATAGCATTATTCCGAGTTATTGCGGTCTGTACCTATTTTGGTGCAGGAATTATGCATCAACCTAACATAAGACGATATAATAGAATTTTTTTTGGATTTTCCATCGTCCAATCCAAATGAAGCATGAAGCGAACTTTCGCACACTTTACAGCTGGCAAAATATATTTTTCTTTTAAATCTTCTCATAAATCCCAGTATCTTGGAAATCCAGAATCTCCAGAAATTCTCAAGATACGAGCAGTAAAAAGTGAATGAATCTCATATAAACGAAACGGATTTGTTGTGAGCGTGTAAAAGTATCCAGGGTCCCAAATTATTTAAAACACAGTCGGTCAAAGGCAAAATGGATCGCGAAGTTTTTGAAAGTTACTTGTATGGGTTATAAAATGTGCAAGTAACTTGTTTATACTTGTAAGTAATTATATTAGTTTTTAAAATTTTTTAAAAAATCCAAACTAGCCTTGTAAAAAAACTTTTTTTCGGAGGCGTGGCTCCCTCCACGTCCCCCTTTCTAATATTTTGAGCTCATGGGCCCACAAAAAATTTGGAGAGCATCTCAAAATTTTTTTCCCTTCCTCCCATCATTCAGGGAGATACTTCTGCGTCCCATAAGCAAGGTTTTCAGTAAAATCAGCGGATTTCAATGCCATCTAGAGCTACAATTCCAAGAAAATTTTATAACAGCTTAAAGATACAAAGATTTTCACCCGTATTCAAGCGATCCTTCTGCTATTCAAGGTACTTCACTCTTAGTCTGTATTCATTGGGAGGTTTTCCATGGTTTTGCAAAGGACGCCGCTTTCAAAATACTATTTCTTTTAGGTTCTGGATAGAATCTCCATCGGAGGACAAAAACCGCTTGCAGCTGCAGCTTGCAATACTCGTTAGCTGCAGTTCTCTCGTTTTTCTGCTTATGGAAGGTGGATGCATTTTCTGGAAAAAGCTTCATAATACTTGCAGAAACGAGAGAACGAGGGTGCGAAAAAAGGGGCAGTGATTGAATTAAATCTATGAGCAGTAAATCTAAAAAGTCTTCCCAAAAGCTCAAAAGTTTCTTAAGAAATAGTTTTTGCAACAGTTATGGGTCTAAAGACATTTCTCAGCGTCTTTTCGATTAATCTCCGAGGTCATTCTGAGCTCATTCATTACTGGTCAGAATCACTAAGGAATGCCCTGCAAATGCATGCTATTACCGTTTTTCCTCAGCCTTTCCCGATCTTTCTTTTCCTGCTGCTCTTTCCCAGAGTTTCGCGAAATTTCCTTCGATTAGACTAATCAGAGTAATCATGGACGCATTTTCAAGAAAGAGCGCAGGAAAAGGAAGGGGCAGAGAAGAGCACAATTGCCCCGCTCATTACTCATTAAGGGAATGGAATGATTGAAGATGGGAAAGCAGAGGGGGGGGGGGGGGGGGGAGGGGAATCTGTTGCTGTTAGATCTGAATGACCCAACTTGCAAATGCTGCATACCCTATTTGTACTATTTGTATTTGTTGTTCATATGAATTTTTCTAGTGATCTACGTGCAAATTTTTCTACAAAAATTCCCTCGAAATCGATTTAAACAATTCTTTTCTTTTGCCTGCTGCTAAGAAATTCCTTAAAGAGGCCTGAATTTCCCAGCTTCTAGGTTTTCTTGTTATTCCTGTCTACCAAAGGATCTATCCAAGCGTTATTTGACACCGTGAGAGATTTGGTGGATAGCCATGTGAAATTCTCATAAACCTACGCAAGCAAGGATATTGTCGAAACCCTAGACTGAATTTTTTTTGCGGATGAAGAAATGCGAAGGCGTGAAAATCGATGCTTTTTTGCTTTTCAAAAATTAAAGATTCGCTTACAAGGCTTTTCTCCATTACTGAAATGAGTACAAGGAAACTGCACTCGTTACGTCACAGTAAGTTGATATTCTTGTTTACGTAGACAAGGAAAAGGACAAAGCCTTAACCGAAAGCCCTTGCTTGGTTCACAAAAGTAATTGCAAAACCGGAAGTGCTCAACTGGAAAATTTTTTTCCTGATATACTGGGAAATTCGAGAAACACTTTCGCGCAAATCTGCTTCAAAAGTCGCCGACGTAAAAGATTTGAAGTGCTTACGATAAGCCTCTTGCCCTGCTTAGACTGAGCTATTAGGGAGCAAGTATTTCTTATATAAAGACTAGGAGCTCAATCGACAAATCATCAACGACGAAGATCAGAAATCCTAGTTCTCTGGCAAGTTCTTTAATACCTTCTCAAGCCATTTTTCTCTCTTCCACATTACAATTTTTTAGTGCAAACAAAATAAGGAAGTGACATTATTTTCAAATGTGTTACATCTGATGCTTTTGCTTTGCTCATAAGAACAGGTGAAAAAACCCAGACGGGTTTTTATTGTTGAAAAATAAAATGACAACTACAAGAGCTATTACAAGACCGCTATCTTTCAAAATCCCAGAACCTACAAGTAATTTTGAAAATTATAGTGTGAAAAAATCTCCTGTCTTTTTCTATTATAACTATACAAAAGTGAGGAAATTGGTGCCAAAAGTGAAGCGCAGGACATTACTGGAATTTTACGATTTTTGTTTCAGTGAGTACTAGATTTTTGTTCGAATTTTCTTCCAAATGTCAAGATGCAAATGGTAGCGGTGAATTGGTTTCTAGTGTCTAAAGCCTACTAGGCTAATCAATATCAATCAATAAATCAATTCTTACCTGTTTAGAAGGTAAAAGCAATGATGGGTATTGCCGCCGTTTTCGTACGGCTAGAAGTGCTGCTACAGCGACAAGGCCAAGCAGGCCAATCGCACCGCCGACTCCCAGATACAGCCATTCTGAAAATAATCGATATATTGATTGGATACGGTAGCAGGAAGAAAGGAGACTTTGCATTTCGTTCAGCCTAATCCCCTAAAAGAGAATGGATCGAAAGGGCACTCTTTTTTGTGGATTGTTGTACTTTTAGGACAGAAAAGTTTTTTTGCATTGTTGACATCATCGTATATGTCACGCGAGCAGAATTTGTTTCCGATAATTAGAAGTAACTTACGTAGGCTAAAGTAAAATAAATGTTACTGTTATTATCCTAAACGGTATCGCATTGATATTGCCAAGCAACCAAAGTGAATAATGTGATATAAAGCCACTATCGTTCATTATAATGAAAACATTCTTTTGTTCGAAAATGTTACTACAATAAAGTTTTGCTATGTTTTTGTAGAGTGACATGGGCATTGTATTTTGAGAAAATTGGATTACGGTAAGGGATTGTCATAAGTAAAGTGCGCATAAATAAAGTCTGATATTTTCTCTGCAAAGGTGAAATCAGGGAAAAATGCCAGATCAAAGTTGCAGTTGCAGTAATAAGAAAGCAGCAACATTTTCTCAAAGTAAAACTCAATTCCTAGAATTATGCCCTGTCAGGGGGGGGGGGGGCGAGCGATTTCCAACGCAAAAAAGGATTTTTATATTTCTCGTATACATTAGATTTTCTTAGAAATTCCATTTTTCGGGGGTTTCAGATGCTGTGAAACAATAAAAAATATTATACGTAATTTGAAGCTATCCATCTTCTGCCTTTGTGACAGACGTCTAGGCTATTTGAGCTTGATGTGTGGTGTGTAATTGCACCTTATGCGCGAGAAATGTGCTGTTCAAAGATAGAGTACCATTACGACCAAATAAAAGGTCACGTTCCTTTTTCCGTAAGAAATTTCCTTCTCCCCTGATCCGCCGAGAAAATTCTGGGACTGCCACTGCTATGAACGTCTGCTTGAGTAGCAGTACAGCTTTTCTCCCTCCCCCCCCCTGAACTATTTTTGTTAAAGACCCTTACCCTTTCCGTACCAGGCCACTTGAAGCAAATGTCCCCTATGTTTATCTCATTTTTGATCTTTGACGCACTTTTACAGACAAGACGTAATGTGCCAAGTCGTAAACATACACCAATGCATACAATCCGCTAACGAATAGCAGTGGAATAGCGAAGTTGTATTTTCGTAACCAGTGAAAACACGCTAATACGTGATGATCCCCAGTAAAAGCAACTAGATTTACGTGTTAGAACTGTATCTGACTTGTTTGGTTCCCAAAATACGTGTTTTTTGAACTGCTATAGTATCTTAGTCATACCGTAGCCTTTCCGTGGTGCAACACTAGCTGATAAGCTGAGTAGAGCGCGAATTTGCCTAAATTAGCGTGAAAGCTCGAGATGCGCGAATAGTGCAAATAGCGGTCGGTTCGAGTACAAACTAATTTCTGATGAATGCAGTCTAGCTAGTCAAGGACAAGCCGGCATAAGAAAAGCTATGAATCTAAAGTCACTCATACAGGGACTTAAGCAAGGGCTCTGAATATTTGTTGGACCTCTTAGCAGTTGTTTGATTACCAAGTTTAGTCCTAGTGCTACAAGTATATGTCTAGGTAGTAGAAGCCCATGACTACCAAGCTTTTCAAAACAATAATGCGAAAGAAATTTTAGCAATACAGGGAAGAAATTTCGAAAGTAGAATGATGATGTGAGTGTACTAGATTTCTAGAGTGACTAATCTGTCTAGAAAGTCGTTTCATATTTTTTTTCCTGATTTTTCCCGATGACATAAGGCTCCTATAATCAAAATTTATTTGCTAATTTTTTTTACTTTCATGTTGACACACCTAGATTGTAAAACATAAAGTAAAATAATTATTATAAAGTTTTTTGGTCAAAATTCACCAAGCAGTGTAGTAAGCAGTGTAGTAGGTTGCTGTGTTAAAGAATCTGAATAATTCAGTGCAATATTGATAAGCCATCAAGAGTGAATTTAAGCACTTGACATTTTTTATTCATTATGGGACCCGAATTTTTACGCGAGAATGGGATTTTTAGTATTTGGACGAGAATAACATCAAATGTTTACCATTGGTTACACGTATTCATCTAAATTATTAGTGAGAAAGTAAGAAGTTGCTACGGAATACATAATTTGTCCCCTATTATGTGTGCTTACTCATGGTAAATGATGAAGGAGGTAGAACGCTGAATAAGTAGAAATTCTAGAAGCGTAAATATCTACTCTACTTATCATTATTTAAGCTGTAAATGTATATTTAGCTTTAGCAACAAAATATGATGCGTAGTGACAAATCTTTGAGAGAAAAGTTGGTCCGGCTCTTAACTAAATACAGAATACCCTTCTCATTCGTAGTTTTTTACAATGATACCGTACCCCATAAATTCCCGACGAACTTTTTCCCAAATGCACTCTAGAACTGAGAACGTTCAAGCAGACGCGGATCCCTTCAATTTCAATCAGCTTAATAGAAGTGGATATTGCCTTTGATGGGGCCTCATCTCATCGTCTTTGAAGTGGATTGCTTCTGACTGACTTCTTCATAGACGGTGAATTCGGCTATCAAGTCTGCAGTAGAGCAAAAAAAAGGTTGACTTTGGACTTTTTGTTATGAAATAAGAGACTTTTCCTAGTATTAAAGGGAATGCGGAAGTAGCATGAGAATGAATGTGAAAGCTGGCCATGACAAAACAATGTGTAGATCATAGAACAGACAGCGGAAGAAACTCGTCTGATTATGAGTATTTCAGTGTCGGGTTACGGTAGCTAAGAAAGGTTCGGATCTATGATCAGTAATTTTGCTCTAGTGGTATGTAATTTAGATTTGCTGAACAACATTTATGCATGAAATAACGTTTTTGAAAAGAAAAATCTCCACATTAAAAGGCAATTTCCGTTAGCTGCATGTGCATAAGCGAGAAAAATTTTGGCATGCGAATTTCCTACGACATATATGTGAAAATAGTTATCTCAAATATCCATTGCAAATACATGGTAAAGTTCTCGAGAAAAATCTAGAAATCTAGAACTAAATTCTGCATGAGTGGACGTTTTAGGAAGTCTGCTTGACCTCCCTGAAATTCCCGTAAAGTACCGTAATCCGAACCACAAAGTACGTGATTGTGCGGTAGAGACCTGGTTTGAATGTAATAAAAATACTGTAGCACGTGATCAGGATTACGGTAGTCATACGAAGTAGGTCAAATAATGCATATAAGGACATCTATCAGTTCAAGAAAATAACTAGAAAATTCATGGAACAACACTGACTATGGCAAATGTGTGTAATTGTAGAAACTGAGGAAGCGCTTTAGAGAACGATGTCTGTCATAGAAGGTTTATAAGCCAGAACATATTTAAAATATTACTATAAACCAGTCATGTAGGATTCAAACTAGTAAAACTCGAAAAATCGATATATCGATTGGCGATTCACACATTTGCAACAAGAGATGCTATAAAAGCCTCCGAGCCAAAAAAGTTACGATTTTTTGCAAGAATATTATTTAGAGATTCTGAACTGAGGAAACAAATAATCAATATATTGATTGGTGATCGTGCGCGAATGACCGATTAGTTATGACCCGAGAAAATATCAAAAAATTAGTTTGAAATTATTTCGCAATCTTTGAATTAGTGAATCGTGAAAAATCGATATATTGATTAGCGACCGTTGCGCAAAATGAGCACCAGGCTACAGTATACTTACCGTGACTGGGAGGCGATGGAGCCGCCTGTATGCTAGGCATGCGATATGAGAGACTGACGAGCTGACGGCCGCCGCAGTCCCCGTGAGAGTGCTATGAATGCGCGTGAGCCGAGACGCGGCTCAACGGCATCGATCGCCGTCGCGTCGCCGTCGCCGACGTCATCGCGACGTCGTCGTGAGCTGCTCCGGTCCCGCCCACTGCGACTGCGCCGTGCATAGGTCAGATGTGCGAGCGCTTTTTTCTCCGAATGCGGGGATTAGGGCAGCGATTTGAGGGACGAGCTCCTGGGTTATCGGCAAAGATTAGACTTTTCTCAAAAAAGAATTTACTTATATTTGGCATACGGCAGTTCTTAATATACGGTATCTCACTGCAAAAAAGCTCCAGGATAAATTCAAATTTTAAAAAAACGCGGGACAAAGTCATAAAGTTATTTTAAGTGTCTCGATGAGCAAATACAGTTGTGTCCAGTGATACGTGTTAGTATGGTAATTTGTATATTGCACAACACATACTACTCCACGACTATGTTGTCCAATATAAGCTGGATTCCAAGATTTTCTTTTTTTCTTTTTCTTGTTTTATTAACGAGCAGGTTTCAAACACCGATCTTCTACAATTGGTATCATTGTAAAGGGTTTTAGTGACTATCAACCTGTAAATCGTAAGATGTCGTGTGCGGTTTGCATTCTCACAACTTTGGGCTACAAATGAGACTTCATCTGCTTATTCGGTGGTTTCAACGGATGCGAAACGTTTCGAAAAATGAGAAAAAATCAAAAGCTAGCAGAGAATTGTGTGAAGTTTTTTTTGGTGACTCCTCTCTCTCCCCCCCCCCCCATACGTACAAAATTCACTCAAAATATTGCAATCAGAAGAGAAATCTGTTTCAATTTTCCAAATTTTTAGCTATGTAAGTTCTTCTTCAAAAATACAAGATTTAGACTTCTACCGTCTGTAATGCTTTGGGACCGGCAAAATTTGGCGAAAAATTTTTATTTTTCCGAAATTCGAACTGCAAAGTGTTGTACATAAATATGATATGATCTATACATTTCTAAATTACAAAGATTAAGATTTATTTCCTTGCAGTAAACTTCTTTCTCTCCTTTGAGACAAAAGTGCATCTTTGTCTGTCATCCAATTCGTTTTGCATGAATTCTTCCTCACATCTCAAAGCTTCTGCCAATCAACCAAGTGATATGTGGGCGCTCACATGTTTGTAGAAAATAAATCCCCATTTCCAAATCACTGCTGTAATCGCTAGAATTCAAATAGAACAATCCCCGAGAGTGTACAGCTCTATTAGATTGCCTATCCAGTAATGGAAACCATTTTAACCATTTTATTTTGCGGTTTGTTAATCTCAGGGCTCATCCCAGATTTGATTTTGTGGGGCTGTGGCTTTGGTAAAGCGGCTTTTAGAAAATATCTTCTTTGGAGTAGAGACTAATCTTCTTTGAAAAGAGATGTTTGCACAATTTTTTTCATAAACAAAGAGAAATGTAGTTCTGGCTCGTACAAGGGGCCAAAATAAAAGACTTGATAGAATATGCGATTTCCGCTGAAGAATCGTATTTGCTTGATAAAATGATTAAATCTCAAAATTTTAAAAACGAAACTTTTCTTTCTCTTATTTTTTTCAAATATTGACGGCTACACTGACGGCTGGCTTAGTTGAATAGAATGAAAATAAACATAAAGAAAAAGTGCTGTTGCTGGGGGAGGGGATTGTTTATATTGCAGCCAGAAAATTTCCAGAAGCTTCTTGGAAATTGCATTGCTCCATTGTTCAACGACAGGATCCACTCACCGGCGTGATCATGCCGCAAACGCACACAAGCCAGTGAATTTACGACATTTCTGTAAAAATACAGGAGTTCGCTTTTTTTTCTCCCTCTTAGGTGCTTTCTCCCTCCTATACTTTTTAAAAATGTACTGCGACCCTGTCCCTGCGAATGTGATCTGATGCTCCTAGCTCTCAAAAAGAGAGGTGAAAAAGGATGATTTTGAATTTTTAAAAAAATGCTTCTCATCTGTATGGTGACAGTCTGATATGAAAGCATAGACGCGATCTTTGAAAATGAAAAAAAAATTCTGCTCAATTTTCAGCAAAATGTAAAACTGAAGCAGAACAGCATTTTTTAATTTACAATCAAGAGTTATTTGAATGCTCTTGCATACCATCTAAATATTGTCCTAAAAATACCTTAGAATTAAAGCCCATATAACATTCATCCGGTCCGCCAATCTAATAAATGAAATTTTCAAGTTGAAAAAATTTATCGAATTGTTTTGGCCTTAATTGCGTCGTTAGTACAACTTCAGTACTAAGCTAATCAATAGAATTAATTCTTCAATCTTCCGGTGCTGTCAACAATAATTCAACTCTAGAATGAGTCTAATCGTACTTTGTGGTGAATTCCTAGGCCTTAATTCCGCATCAGTGATTAACTGCAAAATTTCTCCCCCACATTGTTTGGATTCATGTATTCTATAAGAAGTGGGTAACAGCCTATTCCGGCTTATAATTTATTCATAATAGCCTGAATATGGGATTGCATATGCATGTAAGAAGCTAACACAGAGTAAATCAAATTTGAGGGAAATAGTCTGGGAATAAGAGATGGGAAGAGTTGGTTTGTGTCAGTTCTTTTCTTTCAGCCTTTCGGTCTGAACCAGGAACTTCTGGCCCATCAAAAATGTACATAAAGCTCGTTGAACTTTTCAAACCTAGCTTACTTTGTCCCGGATTACAATTTCAAATTTTCAACATTCAAAAATCTTCTTGTTTTTATTTTTGCTCGAATCATTAGCTTTTGGTCGCATTAAGGAAATATTTTTTGTTTTTAAAAACGATATGACAAGTGTTCCTTGAATGCTGCTGCTTACTGCTTTTCTAGAAAATGCTCTCTAGCCCCCATTTGCGCTCCTTTACATAATAGATGAGGTCCTAGAAGCATTCTCGAAGGAGCAAATGTTGAGCTTCCTAATTCATGGGACTCGATAGAAGAGTCTCACGTCATTTAGGAAAGTAAATCCTTTAATTAGAAAAAAATTAGGATGATACTAATCGAGCTCATCAATCCTAATTAGGGCTGGGCACGAGCTGGCACCAGGAAAAATTCAAAACGAGTGTCCTTTGATCTTGAAAATTTTGTACGAGTCCGCTTTTGACCCTAAATCCTATACGTAAAAGACCCTAAAAAACGAAACGTCGACTAAAAAAATGCCACAATTTTTGTGTCCTTTTGTGGAAAAAACGATATTCCCTTTGCTCCTTGTTCTCCACTGTACCGAGCTCTGATCCTAACCAGCGAAACAGCGAGATAGTAGATCATCATCTCTCTATATAAAGCGCAGGGGGGCCCATCTGACGTCACGCTGCCGAGACGATGTCAACAATTCCGTCTGTCTCGAATGCACCCACTGCACCCAAATTGATGACTCATTTTTTGCTTGAGCCTATTCCTCGAGTTGTTGATCAGTGTGCCCTTTCACACAATTCTCAAAGCGGTAGAATCGATTGACTACATTTCCACCAAACGACAGCCTCTCACAGCTTACTAAAGACGTGTTGCTCTATGGTATCAGCAAGTTCCACTTCCATATCAAATGTACTGCAACAGCGATTGTAGATGCGAATTTGTCTCATTAATCTTCTCATTTTGGATAATCGGAAATTCGCTCATCTCAATTGTTTGTGCAAAAATTCCATACTGCGGAAGCAGAAACAAAACGGTTTTTTTTCGCCCACCTTGGGCTAAATTGAAGGAAGTGGGACAGTCTAGAGGGTTCCGGGGAAGTAAATTGAGGTCTGGAAAGTTTTGGCAAAAAAAAACTACTCGCCGTCAGAAACTGCCTTCAACGTTGCAGTTGTGTATGAAGACAAGTTAGAATCAATGCAGTGGCTTTACCATCAGCTGAAACTTTGCTGAACTCAGAAGTGTAAAGTTGCCATTATCGCAGTTTTTTTGCCAAAATATTGCGCATTCCAAAAATCGTATGAACAACAAAGATTTGCTTAGCTCAGCAGCTGAAAGCAGAAGCACACTTCGATGGTGGGATTCAAAAGAAACAACTAATAGCCTACTGAGATGAGATGGAAAGTGAGTGGTTTTAGGCCAGTTTGGCAGATCATCATGATTGTTTGACAGTTCGGCTCTATCGCGAACGGAGAGTTTTGACTGTAAGATTTTTTAGCTGAAGAAAAGTTGCGCACGTTTCCAAAAAAGCACTTCGCCGAGAAAGGGGTAGTTTATGAATTCAAAAAATTCTGGATTCAAAAGTCGTGTCTGCTAAATAGCTTCATACATATAAGTTGAAATGTCTTGCTGATTTGATCTATCAGTTCAAAAATAAGAGAACTCGAAGAAGTTTGGAGGGAGGGGGGGGGGAAGGAGGAGGGAGAATGGAGATTCCATGCAAGGAATGACACTTAATGTAAGAAGCAGGACCCCGGATGGGAAAAGGGAGTGGTCAGGGCTGGGAGAACTTTGTCCAGTGTGAGACGGTCACTTCGGCAATATATACTTTTTGAAGTTTGTAAAAGTTTGGAGCATCCGGATAGCCGCAAAATGTCGAAGAAATGATAGCTTTGTCAAGTACATTATGTCACAATCGCAATAAGGCTGAAACCTTCGATGGAAACGCGCGCCCGCAGCGCCAAGTCTTTGCGCTGCATTTGCACTCATGCCATCGTAGTCGAAGAGAATGATGAGGGAATAGGGAGGTTGAGAGATCCCAAACGACTATCATCAAATCGCAAACGTGTGCTGAACCATGGCTTGGATAAATGCGTAAGCGGCGCACCTGAATACGGCAGTTTCAAGGCATGACCCGAAGGCGATTGTGGTAGATCTGAGAAGTGTAAGAATGCGTGAAAGATTGGTAGATCAGGGATTTCATCTAGAATCCTTCGTACAAAAAGGACATGTTGGGGGAGAGGGAAAAGAAGGCAGATTGGCTAAAAGAAGGACAACGAGTTTGCAAAACGCAATAATGTAAAACTATCTACCCCTGTAGAGCATAGGGGAAAACAGTGGTGCGGATAAAGAAAGTTGGGAGAGAGCATCAAAATTC